GTAGCTCCATACCTTTCTTAATGATCCGATCCTTTTGGTTTGTCAATGATATAGTCTTAGCTGGACGACTCGTGAAAAATATCGTCTCACCACGAACAACGCAGTGGCCGACCACCTTCCTTGAATGTCCGACAGCAGCAGCGTTTGCTCAGTCGTGAATGTTAACAAACAAGCAACACTGCATGAAATAACCGGAGAAATCAATGTTAGATGTACGACCAACTTATCCGTTAGGGCAGTGCGGCGAAATCTGACTTTAATGAGCTGTGCCAGCAGAAGACCGGCTCTAACAGCATCGCCTGCAGCGTCTCTCCTGGGTTCGTGACGAATTCGGGTGGAACCTAGACACTCGTCTAGAGTCTGGCAAACCTGTGGTTTGGTCAGACGAGATCCGATTTCAGTTGGTAAGAGCTGATGGTAGGGTCCGAGTGTGTCACAGACCCAACGAAGACGTCAACCCAAGTTGTCAACAAGCTGGCAAACTGGAAGTGGCTCCATGATTGTGTGTGCTGTTTTTACAAGAATGGACTGGGGCCTCTGATTCAACTGAACCGATCATTGACTGGAAATGGTTATATTCAACAACTTTGTCACCATTTGCAGCCATTAAGAGAATTCACATTCCCAAACAACGAAATATTTTTTTATGGTTGACAATACGCCATGTCATTGGGCCACAATTGCTATATACGATTGGTTTGAAAAACATTCTGAATAATTCGAGCTAATAATTTCATCACCAAGTTAACCCTGGGCGAATTCCATCAAACATTTACGGGACGTAATCGATACGTTTGTTCCCGCAGAAAATCCTGCAACGACAACACTCTCGCAATTATGGAAGACTCTACAGGCTGTATGGCTGTGAGTACAACTCTCGACGAGAAATCCAATGGTGCAAACCAGACTTCAATCCGCCTATTAGTTTCGAAAGTAGGCGTGAAACAAAATTGAGTAAAAATTGAGAAATTTCGTGAATTCTAAAAAAATTAATTTCATCGCTTCCTTCTGAAATCACGTATGTGAGTACAACTCTCGACGAGAAATTCAATGGTGCAAACTTAACTTCAATCTGCCTATTAGTTTCGGAAATATGCATGAAACAAAATTGCGTAAAAATTGAAGGGACTCCGAACGACTTGATGAGCCCCAAGCCACGTCGAGTTGTTCACTTCGCCGGACAAATGGAGTTCTGGCATTATATTCAAAGGTACCAAATGACTGCCACGTCAGTGTATGGCAAATGTTTGTAAATATGTATTTCTTGTAAAACAGAACACTAACAACATGTCGACATTACTTATTGTGAAAACTCTGGGTTAAATTGCGTAATATACATTAAATTGAGTACTAATTGTGAATAAAAACCTTGACCACGATTACCAGCCATATAAAAAATCCATAATGTAAGGTGGACATAAGGAACTATAATATTATTTAAATGATAAATTTAAAACATCTAATACCTGACCACATTATTGAGTTCAAAATAAATTGTCAAGGTTACAACAATATTAATTTGTTTCCATTATAAAATTTTGATGTGATTGTGATGTAACTATTGCAGATTTAATGTAACAAACTATTGCAGATTTAATGTAACAGACATAACTCAACAGTAAATTTGAATGGGATATGAATAATTACAATTAAATACAATATTGAATATAACAACCAAACACAGACTTCTGGGGATAAATTATCACAAAAATTAGATTTGGAATCAATTGAAATGTTACACTTTGATACATTACAAGCAACAGATACCCTACCCACACTTGAGTTCAAAACAATAGAAATACAGATAAGGTTAATTTTATTGTTTCGATTTGATGGATCTTGAATATATTTACATATTGCAAATGTGTAGTTGGCGTATGATCTGATTTTTATCAATATGTGTCATTAAGTAAAACTGGCCTAATGAATTAAAAAAGAGACCGAAATTAGTAACCTTACAATACATTATTTTTATTTTCGTGCTAGTATAATTTTCAAGAAAATAATAAATCAATGATAATAAATTTGGTCAAAAAATAAAAAATAAATATTTAGATTGCATCATTAGTTCAAGACCATTGCATTGTTATTCCTCAATATTGAGTTGTCTCGTTTTATTCATATTTCAACATGTGGTCGACCGTATACATATGTTTTTAATGGCTTGGAGTGGCTACAGCACATGGTCCAAACACTACAACATGTTCTCATTCATTTACGTTCGGGCCGTCGCCCGATTCAGACTTGTCGCGGGATGGACCTATGTGCTGCAGAAAATCCATATCCGAGTTAGTTGAGGCTGCATATGACGCTTGACCTTCTAATTAGTGTGTACATTCGTTCTAATTAAGAGTGTACATTTTATATTATTTTGTTTTTTGTTTATTTTGATACCATAATTTTGTAGTTTGTTAATTTTTAGTTAGATGCCATGCCTTGGTTTTTTGTTTTTGTACTCTAACCCTGATGAAGGAATTCCCAAACGTTGCCAAACTGTTTCATTGTTCTCAATTGACCAATCCCGTGAACTACATCCCTTATTTCATCAATGGCCGTGGATTCTACAATGTTTAATTCCAAGAAATGTTATGAGTGTTATTAATGCTGAGGCCACAAGTTAAAAAACAAGGCGTATAGCGTAGCTCTGTCTCCATTTTTAATTTGGACGAAGCAGTAACAACAACTTAACATCCGTGTTATGTTCAGCATTCTAAAATCTCTCAATTTATACGATAATTTACATTATGCTTTAGTAAACAAATGAATTATTTTGCTGCAGCTCGTTACAACTGTAGTGTGGGGTGTTGCTTGCGATATATCTATTTAAATAATATTCGTGTAGCATGGTTTGAAGAAATATGAATGCAAATAATTCTCCTGAACCTAAAGAAATGACGTTCGGTGAGAAAGTTGGCTCGTCGACTTTGACGATTGACGACGTGACCAATTTATCCGATACACATTTTAATTGCTCTATTAATATTACAATTAACAAGCGCGGATCCACGGGGATAGAAATGAGGAAACTTTCCCCTCCCACAATTGTTCAGTATCTATTAATTTTTACTTGTCACGAAACTTTCAAGCAAAAGTATTTTCGTATGTACATTAAAACGAATGAACTTGTATCGCAACATGAACTGAGTTTAGCCCGCGTCTGTCTACATAACGTTTAATATGACAATTTTGACCAAAACATTTTGAATAAAAAAATGTCACTTCCCAAAATTTGTCTCTGGATGCGCCCCTGTAGTTAAAAATAACTATGCCAAAAACTAATATGAGTTACTTGCATTCTGAGTGGTTTGAATATGATTTGTCTTGTACATCGCCAAGTTTTTTTCTGAAAACCGTTTTACTTGTGATGAATTGATGGTTGTTTATTGAAGTTCCTAAAGATGGGAAAATCCTTTGCTAAGGATTTTAAATTTCATAACATACAGGTAGGTACAAGTGCAGTAACAAACCTGTAGGGTTGCATGTTAACAGAGATTAAAGACGCTTTGCATTAAATGAATTAGGTGAAATGCTCCTAAATATTTGACAATTGCTGATCAAGGAATTCTTATCGTTTTGAAATCCCAGGTCAGTGCGTTATTGTCAATTTCCAAATATGATTTGGGTGGGATGGACAGAAGGAAACGTACGATATATGTGAGGGGGAGGAAGAGACCCGAGAGAGTGAAGAAAATCCTACAGGATGCTGAAGAAAGGAAGAGAGATTAAAGCAATTGAAAGAACAAGAAAAGTGCAGAGATGATAACATGATGGAGTTGAGGCTAATGTGAAATGTTCGAAAGGTGCAAAAGCCATGGAGGTAAATGTGTGAAATACGAATTGAATAAAGATGTATGTTGGGAAGCAGAAAGCGCGAATTTCAATTGCATTTCCGTGACGAGAATTTTGAAAATGTACTTAATGTGGTTTTCTTCAGAAAAAGTACTACTAAGTTTCCTACCGCCACCACCATGTGCTGACATCCGTTGCGCGACGGACGAACTGATTTCTTGACAAACGAAGAATGGCCAGCGAACAGGCCAAAAACTTATGCTATCTTGGATGAGGGTTCATAAAACTTTAATATCACTGCAAATCCAAAATGCACCTGGACACAAGTAATTATTAAATATTTAGAGTTGACAACAGCACGCCTTTTTCAACATGTACTTTCCATTTTGTGTTAACATTTAGAGTGTTTTCACATCAAAGAACCCGCACTCAATACGTAGAAACACAGAATGAAAATTCTATGTCGAAAAGAATTGAAATTGAATTACATTGTATTTGTTTATGGAAAATAACATTTGAGAATTATTTAGTATGAGGGCAAATAAACGATAGAGTCTACAAGTAGGGCATGAAACATAATAAAGAACTCAGCGAATACACCTTAAAAATCAGCATATATATTAAGAAAGTTTCTGTTAAATGTATTCCGACAAGCCAAACTGAGTACTACTATTCGTAACCAAATTTAGTTATGTTTTTTCAAAATTTTATAAGTGTTAAATATATAGTATTTCGTAAAAAAGGATAGATTGCATATTTTGTTTTTCCTGAAAACTTGTTATTTAAAATACTTAAAACTATACCCTTTCTTGAGTTTTTCTAAAAACAAATTTGTAGCTTGATATAAATGGTATAAAATATGGGGTTCTATGTATATATTTGATTGTTTTTTTGTATTTCTCTGGCTTTGAAAGAAATGGTCCTCAATTCAGAAACAAACGTAAATGAAAAGGGCAGTCCTTTATAAATTTACCCAGTCCCTTAATCGGACCGGTTGAGTCGGCCATGAGCGTTTCCTGGAACAATTCAATTTGCTTTGGCAAGCGAGAAGAGTCGCCACCAACTGCGGGCAAGCGAGGAAAAGCGCTTTCACTTCCCGCATTTACATACCCCACCGCTATCGCTTGTGTGCATTAAGCGTCAAGTATTCTGTTGAGTTAGTTATAATTCTGCTCCCAAATATTAACCGAAACTTGTTTTACTTCTTGCAGACATTTCTCCTCTTGGAAGCGAGTATGATTCTACGGAGACCCCGTACTTTAGGTGAGTGATGAAAAAGCTTCGCAATTTGCTTTAAGCAGCGAGTGCTATTGACAAGTTGCATTCGCATTATGCTACTTTGCAATCTATTCAAAAGGCAGATATATTAATTATAATAATAATTATAATTTTGGCAAAAAAGATTTAAAGTCAGCTAAAATTTAATTTACCTTCTTGAAACAAAAAATTGAAAATTAATGGCTGAAAACTAGAACGGTATAAGTGACATTTGATAAATTTTGAGAAATCTGCTTATTGAAGTCAATATTACTGTAAAGTCGTTGTGCTCTGTTTCACCATTAAAACAACGGCATTTAAATAGTTCATTCTAGCCACGAAAATACTTTGCTACTAAAATATAGCCTAAAATAAACACGTTTTTCTCAGAATTTATGAAATGTCACTTATACAGTTCTGGTTTTCACTCATTCAACTAACAGTTAAAGCCAGTTATTGTTGTTATTATAATCATTAAAATAACAGTTAAAGCTGTTAAATTAATAAAACATAACATCATACAATATTTAAGGTGAAGTTTTTTTATCTTTTATAAGACACTTTGGATATAAATAGTCGTACATTTTCTATTCCTATTTAGAAAATCATCTACCATGAGTAAATAGTATAGATTAATGATGAAACATAAAGAAATTTTGAAATTATATTCAAAATATGTAAATTATTTTTAAAAAAATATCAGGCACACATCCATCAGCAATCCTCAACTTGCGTCACTCTGTTCCCGATATCCATCTCACAGACTCGAAACGGTGCATCCTCGACACTTTAAACTTAGTTTGTGGTCTCCAAGGCGGCTTTCAGTTATCTCTGGATAACTGAAAGCCGTAAACTGTAAGGTCGTAAACTACAAAATGTGCCCTATTTTATGTACGTATTCCTTGTTTGGGGATTTATAGCTCCATGTATTGCTTGCCCAATCTGTGAATGATTCTTTGGACACTAATTGATAGCAAGGCTAATTGCGGGGCGTGGTCTCTGAGTAGAAGGTAAAATTGATTCGCATTTCTTTTACAAACGTTGGTTAACTGGTGCTTCAGCCGATTTACTTTCCATTATTTTTACCATACCACTAATTGGAGAAATATATCAATATATTTATAACGCCAAAATGCAAGAAACGTTAACATAAAAACTTCGTTTTCAAGAAATAAAATTGGCATGCATTATTCTGCAATTAAAAGTTTAGTAGTTTTCAAGTTGAATTAAAAGCGTGATGAAAGAAAACAACGAAGATTGGTTGAAATTCAATTCTTACAAAATATTTTCTGGTTGTGATATTAGAATAATGAAAATCACTCGGGAAAGCTATCCCAAACCTCCAACTTTATGCTCTGAACGAAATTTGAGGCATTATAGTTATATTTATTTATAATGGCACTTAACGTTTAATTAGCTGTTATGGTGTCATCTAATTAGTGATTGTACGGTACTCTTGTAACTTTCAAGCTCACGATTGAATGACTCTGTAACAGATGACTTACATTACGTGTCACTACAAATAAATATAGGTAGGCACTAACTGCTGGTACTAAAGCCTGTATTGCTGTCGGACGAACACACTTTACAGAGCGATGAGGTCTTCAGCGATGCTCTACTGTTTTAGAACATATCAGGAAAATTGTGTCCTGACCCAACGGACCATACCCTCACTTAATAGGTATTGTGGCCATAAAGGTGGATAATCTCAAAATCTATGTAATGTGAAATGCGTAGTGTGTGCAATTTAAGTGTTTAAGAATTTCTGTTTGCAATGTAATAAAGCTATTCCATTCACAGATCCGGAACAATATTTACGTCCATTTCATAACCTAAACGTTTACTCGAGCTCCGGAAAGAAGATATTTCCACTTTTAAAACAACGATTTGCATAACGCGGGAAGATTGAACTGGTCTAAATTGTTGACACATACTATACTTCAAGATTGAAAAATTAAGTTCATTGGGCACAAGCATGAATAATATTATGATTTATCTTTGCGGTTTCAAAGCAGTTATATATTTGAGATGTGACATCAAATTTAATAACATTTAAAATATTTGTTTCTAGAGTTCGATATGATGGTGAGGGTCGTTGCGACTGTCGCCATCCTGGGAGCAATAGGCGATGTACTTGTTCTCACGGCTATCCTGGGGGTACGTATAAATTCCACTTCCTTTGCTACATTTTCCAATTGAAATTAACTTTTCTTCATTAGAAGACGATTGGACACGACGTAATAAATTTGTATATTTTCCAAAATTTCGTGTCCTAAATAACTCACAGAACCAAAAAAAGAAAGAATACAGATTTACAAGTATTAAAACGGATTTCACAAAACACAGTACACCATCCATACTAGATGGACAGAAATGAAAAGGATTATGACCAGAACTACCTAACCTCTGTTGTTAAATGCTGCATAACTGTAAAGAGAACAATCATTGTTTGGTGAAAACGAAAACTTTTTTAGAATTAATTTTGTACATTTCTCCATAGAGTTCACCATCGCCTCCTTCCTAGATGAATGTATAAATAGTTTTCATGAGCATTAGAAAATAGTGCAATTAACATATTATTAGTGTAAAATTATCAGACAAAATGTTATGTAAAATGTCAATATTGTGTACAGTTTGTGTTAGTGAAATCTGAGGTAAATCTGTTGATTGAATTGCCGTATACAAGCACACAGGAAGGTGAACACAAACTACGGTACGCCCGCCAAAAAAATAATAATAAATAAGTGGTTCTTACGAGTAGCACAATTTTTTTCAAACTAGTTCCTAATTTCATGAGTCTGGGCTGGCTTTCGGTTTCCCCCACGATCTTCCCACTTGATGCCTTAATAGTTATTTATGCACCAAGGCCGTCAGAAGGTTTCTAATCAAGCATTAGATCTAGTTACATAGCCGATTGTATTTTTTAACTAATTTTAATTATTCATGTTTATGTATTTATTTATTAACTACGTGTTAACATGACTCGGTTTGTCATTTCATATATCTCTCATATAATTCCCTCTGTAAGACAATAACATTCATCTGTTTTATATTTCCCCCTAAGCACAATTCTCTCGATCAAGGAATGAATGAACGAACAAAGAAAAACAAGCTCCGCATCGAAGCAATAATAATCAATAACGTTTTCGAAAAAAATCTAAATATATTTTTTCCCTACTCTACAACCTCTCGGTCCCGAAATAGAAAAATAATTAAAAATAATTTTAATAATATGATACGCGGACGACTTCACACTGAGTGTGCTGTTGTGTGCAGTGGGGGCGCTTCGCGGCGGGCGCGGGACTGACACAGCTGCTGTGCGGGCGCCTGGCGCTGGCCTCCGCGCATCTGCCGCTCGCTGTCGTGTGGATGCTGCGGTGCGTGGATAGGTGCGTCGCCTACGCCAGCTGGTGGCCCCTGGAGCACGCAGCCTGGGAGGCGGTTCGCTTTGGTAAGCCTCGACCAGTAGGGTTGCGTTTTAAATCATCAGCAGGTGCATTTACAATGGAAACGGACTTTTTGTGGCACTGGGTACACTGATCATAGCTACTCTGATCTACCTCGTTTACATGTTAGTATGTGTGTTCTTGTATTGTACAAGGCAAGCTGATTTTCATGTTTTTCCGTCACAGTGGGTGCGTTGATCATGGCTTTGCATTACTTCGGCATTAATTCTGAGCTCTTGTTCTTGTAGAATGAGGGTTGACTTGTTTTTTTTCCTGTTGCAGGAGAACTCTGGTCTCGTCTTCGCTGATGTACCTCATTTAAATGTTTATTGTTTCCTTGTACTCGTAGAAAGGAAACTGACGTATGTGTAAATCTGTTTCAGACGGCATGCAAGTCATGTCACTACTGACCTACCTCATACATTTTGCGACCGAAAGTATCCGGACACGTCCAAAATGGTGTTATAATGTGGTTGTGTTTTTCGTGGAGGGGGGCTTACACGCCTTATTGTTTTGTGCGGCACTATCACGGCACAGGCCTACGTTGTTGTTTTAAACACGTTGTTACCCACTGTTAAAGAGCAATTTGGAGATTGCGAATGCATCTTGCAACGCGATCGAGCACCTTTTCATACTTCACGGCCTGTGACAGGCTGCGAAATATTGCTTAGAGAAATTGGGAGAGCATTAGCAGAAACTGCAACGAAAATCACCTTTTCTATCAAACTTTTCATCAGACAAGAATGTTCTTGAAAAGAAACAATTAATAATTGACAAAGATTGTTACTTTGCAGAAGTAATCGATGAATATTGAAGAGATTGTAATGATTACCTCTGTCCGGACGAAATTAAACGTTTCGTTACGAATCTCGTCGTTTGTACTGCACGTTAGACTGCAGAAAGCTGCTGTGAATTGCCTGGCAGCGCCCCGAATCGAACTTTGAATGCGCCCAACACATTTTACGTAGCTTCTGTGCACGGCAAACTGCTCGCGCCGCCTCTGTGGCAATTCATGACTACGCTGCGTCTAAATGGGAAAGACCTGGATTCCGAGATGCCACACAATTGCACATATTTCACACGTGGCTGGCCAGGAGCTGATGCAATCTTTTGGTGACGCTTCGAACTAACAGGAAGCACTTGACAATCTACGGCAAAGAACTTTGAACGAAAGAAATGAGTATTTGGTCAACTGGGAAGAAATGCGTGCGGCTTCGGTTGAAAAAAATTTAAAAATCTCCAGAGCGGGAAGTTTGAAATGTGTGATCTTTTCTTCTCAAATGCCTCCAAAGATCAGCGAAACTGCACTGTTCGAAACGTGGACCCAAATTTGAATCAATTTGGCGGTGAATGTGCCAACAGAGTGGTTACACGACAATATCATCCCTTCAATGCACTGCCGTCACAGAGTCCTCACATCCTATCGAATCCCTTTGGGATATTTTGGAACGCCGATTTCATGCCAAGCCTCACCGACCTTCATCGATACCTCAGCTTAGTGCAGCACTTCACGAAGAATGGGCTGCCATTCCCCAAGAAACCTTCCAGCACCTGATTGAAAGTATGCCTGCGAGAAAGGAAGCTGTCATCAAGGCTAAAGGTGGGCCAACACCCTAATGAGTTCCAGCATTACCGATGCAGGGCGCCACAAACTGGTAAGTCAGGCTTTCAGACACGTGTCCGGATACTTTTGGTCACAGAGTATACATGTTCTTGTATTTGTACAAAGAAAATTGGCGTGCATGTTTTTTGTTACAGAGATAACGCTGTTCATAGCGTCCCTGATCTACCTCATTTACCTGTTCTCTGTATGTGTTCTTGTGCAAGGGAAAGTGACGAGCATGGCTTTCTTTTGCAAAAGGCTCTTCTTCTGGCTTCGCTTATTACCATGATCTCTGTGTGCTTGTACGAGTGCGAGGCAAGTTGATTTTCCCGTTTTCTTTCTTTCTTCGTGCACGCTGGCCGTGGCTTCACATTTCTTTGGCAAGCCCTCTGTGCTCTTGCACCGGTGCAAAGAAAACTGACGTGCGTATCTTTCTTTTGCAGTGAGCACGCCGATCGTGGGGTGGATGATCTACATTATTTACATTTCTTTTGTGTTCTTGCACTTGTAGCAGGGAAAGGGGCTTCCAAGTGCCGCAATGGGCACGCTGGATGTGGCTTGGAATTCGCTTGTCATGTTTGGCTGTTGCCTTTCTTTTTATTTGTTCGAGAGAAACTGATGTGCATGTGTTTTTGTCGCAGTGGACACGCTGATTGTGGTATTGTCGATCTACCTCATTTAGATGGTTTTTTTTGTTCTTGTACTTGTACACATCAAACTGACGTGCGTGTGCTTGTGTTGCAGCGGGCACGTTGGTCGTGGCATCCCTAATGTACTGCCTGCTGGTGGAGCTGCATCCCGGAGACGAAGCGGTCACCTCCTTGGTGTCGACGCAGGAGTTCTCTGCCGCCCCCGCACCCACCGAGCAGCCAAAGCCCTGCGCCATACCGCCACTTCACCGCCCCCACTAGCACTCAACGGCATTGGAAAAATCTGTTTTATTCAGTTCGGGCATTGGCAGTATTTTGATACCTAGGGAATCGATATATTTGCTGTGGACATTGGCAGTATACTCGTATGAACCGATTTGGAAAATATTTTACTAGTTTTACCAAAACTGCTGTGTGTAGATGATTGGCATGCCATAAATCGAATATTCATTTAATATTTCAAGCGTGCTCTTGCTTGCCATTCTTCTAATGGCTACTCTGCTACATGGAGTAGGTGTCGTCATTTTATAAAGAAAATAAATTATCTTTGTTTTATATTTAAAATGAATTTTGTGATGTTAGTGGAATATAATGTGAAAAATGTGATTAAAAATGTATTAAAAATATTTCAGAATGTCTTTGAACATTTCAAAGTGTCTTTTTTTAATAATTCGAGAGTATTAAATCATTAATTAATAATCGATTCAAGTATTAATTAACGAGTGTTAATTAATTATTGATTCACATATCAGAGCATTACAAACCTAGGGGTGAGACCATTAGTTTCCCATCTGAGCATTAATATTAATTCTCGTTCACAATTTCCTACCCTGAAAACAGGTTCATAGCAGTATAGTCTTCAGATGTGAAGCCTTTTTCACATCAATTTATGCCTTCCAAATGCTCCCCCAAATCTGACATGCTAAGGCCTTGACAATAATTGCAAAACAAACATTGCAACAGAATTTTATACTTCGATCATTTTAAACAATTATGTTGTATTGATATTTATGTACAGCGGAACCACGCAATATTTGATAGGAAAAATCTATTAAGGATCTCTACAAAGATTGCTGCTACGTCAAGCTGTGTAGGAAAAATACAAAACAGCTTTCCCTTGAATGTTAATTAAAACATTCCACGCAGAAGTTGACATTCATTTAATGACGAATTAAGGGATAATAAAATATTACGTTTCTATTGCATCTGTCCACGTTACTATACAATTACGCCGTGCGTCACTTGATCAGGACTTTCCGGGTTTTTGAACACGTGTGGTTAGCAATCTCCATATGAGACGCTACGTCGACTCGCCTAGCCCTACATCCAGGACTGTACAAGGAAGGCTGTGGGTGCAGGACTCTCATTGGAGATCTTGCGCTCCCTTTCGAATGGTAGCAGCAGATTCCAGGGGCACGTCGAGTGGAACAAACTCCGGGCCGCTAACAGTTGCCGACTCATTTCCGTGAGGCCCCCGCAGGGTGTTCCTTGACTTCCACTTGCGCTGGGAAAGCCGACTGTCCTAAACAGAAAGTAGTTCGGAAGAGTGCCGGCAGATTCCACCCCCTCTCAGGGCGAGCCTGGGAACGCGGGTGAAGGCAAATTAAATAACGAATCCTAATTTTTTTCTATAAGATATCGATTCTGACCAATGATTCTAATTCTCCGGAATTTTAAATGGATGCATTGTTTAAAAAAAGAGTTTTAAGGAGAAATCATGAATATTATTTACATATAATAATAATAATAATAATAATAATAATAATAACAACAACAATAAGCCTTAAATATACTCACATACTACTACATACACGAAAGCATACCAGACATTTTACAATGTACAAACGAGTACAATAGTAATACTGTGTTATTTGTTGGCATATTTATATTACATTGAATTCTTTCTCCAAGAATACCACATTTAGTACATGTCATATTTATTTAAATTTCATTGGGATACTATGACCTTCTCGACCAGGACCAAGGATGTGCGCGTAAATGTTCCCCAAAAACAGTTCAGCACGTTCCCAGGAAGCAAAAACCGACGCTTAAAAGATGAATTCTGACTACACGTGTTAAAGGTAGTGATTAAATATATGTAGGAACAAGAGATATTCACTTCCGTTACAAGTTCGCCGCAATAAGAGTTTTTCTGTCGAAAAATCACCGTTTTCCATGGTCTAAATACAGTACTTCTTAGGACGAATTACTATCTCTCTCTTCACTTCTCATGAATTATATTCTATTACTTATCATTAAGTGCATGAATTTCTCTGAAATATTTTGTTACACACACTAACACTAAAAACGGCTTTCACAACCTCTCTTGCGGCCCTTCAAACTGTGGGTGTGTTTCCACATCTCAGCTGGTGAGTGAAATTTAAGGGTGAAGCAAAACTAATATAATAGTAACTAGGGTGGAAGGTAAGGGGAAAGGAACGTTCACTATCCGAAATTTCCTGATTTATTAATTTTTAAAATATTATACAAAATGTTTAAATATATTTTACGAATTTAATGAACTTATGTCTCGCAACAATGTATGCACCCGTATATGCCCGCTGTCGTTGGTATCTCCAATAAATTCTGCTGCTGGTGGTGTTTTTTACTTCAACGTCGCTGTCCGTTCGACTCTCTCGTAACGAAAATTTAAATGAAATACTTTACGCTCCAACACAAATAAAATATATTGTTCGTGAATTCGGATTACCACAATCAATCCACAAACTATAACCTGCTCCGCTTCCGTGGATATCTACTATTCTAGAACCACCGATTAATGTTCTTAAATACCTCCTCCAAGGTTTCGCTAATTTTCTAATGTCTTGAAGACGGTATTTAAACCAGAATTCCACCTACAATATCTCAACCTAAATTCACACATCCATTTCTTACGAAACCTCAAGCAAACTGGCGTCGATGCTGAATATCTTAGTTGTCTCTTTCTTACGTGTACTCTTTCTTACATACTCGTACAACGTTTTATACTTTTGTTATCTTTTGTAACACGGTAGAGTGTAAAATGCATGTCAAAATAAAGTAAAATCAGTCGAAGCAGCCACCATGATTAACCGGTCATTTCTATTACCTCCAAATAGTAATATACTTGTTTTACTTGGCGGGTGGGTAATATATGTTTCAGTATGTTTTTCATGCATGCAAGTTTCTTCAGCGGTGGCGTGAAAAAGGAAAAAAGGTTCAAAATATTGAGAACTGTACATACATTTTATTTAATTTCTGAAGTCCAAAAATTGTGGTCGTAGATTTTGGAGAATAAGTATAATTATGGAAAAGGGTGTTGCAAGAGAAGAATATATACCCTCATTAAAAATAGCAAAATATATCGGATTCTATATTCATCTAGCATCAATTAAGCGTCAAGCGTACAGCAGTCCCTGTACTAATAGACAAATTTCTAAAGAACGAATGATGACCGTTTAAGACAGTTTTCTCTGTAACTGCATTATTATCGTATAATAATTGTAAGTAGAAGTGTTTGGAAGCAAAACATGCAATTAATACGAAAGAGATCACCATCATAATCATCTTCCCATTCTACGAATTTGTCTTCCAGCATCTCTTTTCGCGCTTTTAAAGCGTGATAGCGAAAGATGGTGCTGTCTCCTTCTCCTAATTGTTAACATGATCAACTATGAGCTTCTGTAATAATATATTGAAGGGGCACCTTGCTATACTTCCAAACGACTATCAAACCAGCACGCTTATCAATGGGCCACGTGGTTATTTCTTCCATATTTTGCCCCACCTTCAGGGTCAAGGGAAAGGTCATCCCGCATTCATCTTCGAAGATCCGATCTACGTAGAGCTTCAAAGATCAGGCGAGGGAAGTAAAAGTTGGGAGAGCCTCGAAACATTTTACGGTCAGGCCCTCACTGTGCGACATCATATGCTTGATGTTGTGCTTAAATGAATATTCTATTGTAATATTACACAGGATGTATGAAAACAAAAACAAAAAACGAAGTAAAATGCCCAAAAATAGATGGTCTCCCGATAAGTGAGGTAGTGTAGTGCATACGAGTGTGAGGGAACGTAAAGGGTGGAAATAGGGCAAGGAAGAGGAAGGAAAAGTCGCGAGCTGTCCGTGACCCGTTTGTTAGAGTACTGCTCCGGCATTCGCCCGGTGTTGATAAAAGATATCAATATTATTACAAACGAAATTAATGCATTTGTTCAGAAAGAAAAATTAACCGAGGAATAAAAAAGTATTCGAATTGTGTAAATTGAGTGTTTTTATATTTCTATGTTAATTTCTCTTTCTGAACAAATATATTCATTTATTTTGTAAATAATAAACAATTTACATGGTTCTGTAGTGTTTCTCTTCGTCTGCAATTCAAATGTTTGCCTAGAAAGCATTGTTTCAAACCAACTTTTGAGTTCTTATTGCGGCTAAAACCATTCGGAATATTCCAGTAGCTTATTAGACAAAATGTGCTTAAAATTGTCTGAAGAGCATATTTGCGAAGTTGTGACGTTTTCTCCCTGAACACCCGTTTACAGTGAATACACAGTCCGTCCCACAGAAAAGGTGACTGATTTTATATTCGCGAAACCAATCGCGCAATCTGTGATCTGATGCAGGAATTAAGTTGTGTTGTGTTTTGACTGCCTTCCGTTTTAAAAGGAACAGTTCTGGCATCACAGACTGCTCGCAGTAAATAAAACTGCAACAGTATGTTTTGACCTCTCGGGTTAAAAGCAGCAATGGGCAACTGCGAACAATAAGTTTGTTTCAAAGTGGTAAAAGTGCTACAGAACTTTTGAAATGATGCCAACGTGTTTATGGTAGTGAAGCAATGAGTAGTAGATACGTTTGGTAAGTGGTATGCATCAGCGCCAGTTCGAGTCGAAGAAAATGTTCAAAAAGTGGCTGAAATTCTTCAAAATGATCGTTGTGCGTCTACCAGGTTAATCGAGGAGCTCGCTGGAATTCCTAAAACAACTGTTCATCGCATATTGACTGAAAATCTCGGCAAAAAGATCTGTTGTCACTTTGTGCCCCACTCACCGACGATCAAAAGCATTGCAGAGTAGAACACTGCAGAGACATGAAACGATCGGGCGATGAGGACGCAGACTTCCTGTCATGCATCGTAACCGGTGATGAAACATGGTGTTTTCAATACACTTACAAAGCGCCAGAGCTCGGAATGAAAAGGTCCAGAATCTCCGAAACCGAAAACAGTGCGAATGCAGAAAAGTCGTGTCAAGACACTGCTCACAGTTTTCTTTGATTCCAAAGGAATTATCCATAAAGAATTTGCTCCATGTGGTCAAATGGTGAACGCACATTACTACTTGAGTGTTCTAACTCGTTTATGGTCGAGGATTGTTTGGGTGATGCCTGAATACCGAAACCAAGGAACTTGGTATTTGTTGCACGACAATGCTCCAGCGCCCAAAAGCAAGATCGTTCGCCAATTCTTGGCTGAAAAAGTTGCGCATGACCATCCTCCTTATTCGCCGGATTTAGCTCCGGGCGACTTCTGGCTATTTTCCAAACTGGAAATTGCCATGAAAGAACGGTGTTTCGACACGATTTTCGATATCCAGAAGGCTACGACAACGATCGTGCAGGCAATTCCAATTGTTGACTATCAGAATTGTTTTGAACAATTTTTCCAATACTTCCAGTTGTGTATTAACTCACAAGGAGGCTATTTCGAATAAAGAAGCATGTACACTAAAAACAAACAACTTTTTGTATTTTATTTCACATCAGTCACCTTTTCTGTGGGACGGACTGTGTATGACAGGAGGTAATGTATTCGTAGATCAGTGGAGCTGCCCTCAATATGCCGTATAGAGAGAGCTTCACAAACTTGTCTCCACCGTTGCGAAAAACGTGACGCTACCATGACTGATTGAATTGTTGTCTCCGTGCGTGTCAACAGCCATGGTCTTGTCCCGGCACCGCCCCAGATGGGCTGCGAAGTGACGAGATTGGGAAATCGAGTGGAGAGCCTGCCTCTCATCTTCACTGTCGCTGCTCTTTTCACCGTCCTCAAAAGACGGTTTTCACAAAAGAAGGTTTATTTTGCTATTCATAATAATATTAGGTTTTGCGTAATGTAATGTAATAAAATGTAAGATTTTAAAATCGTGTGAAATTGGCTATGTACAACGTGGGACAGATTATTAATAAATATTTACAGATATTACCAAACAGATCCAGTATTAAGCGACGCAGTACGCAGGCCATAGAGTTTTCATGATTCCTTCGCCTCGAATTCGTCCATTTACACTTGTTCACTTCAATTGTTTGTTTCAATTCTGCAAACACGGAGCCAAGCATAAGGTGATTCTGACACTATGGGTAAGACCATTAGGACGTTATTCGTTTTAAGCGCGCGCTATTCGTACGATGTGCTGATATGATAAGCCAGAGTACCTTAAACGGCCGAGAGAGAGAGAGAGAGAGAGAGAGAAAGAGAACAAATGAGAAAGAGAGAGAAAGAGCAAAAGAGACAGGGAGAGCGAGAAAGAGAGAGGAAGAGTACAAAGAGAGAGAAAGAGGGAAAGAGAGAGATAAAGAGGGAAAGAGGGAGATAAAGAGGGAAAGAGAGCTAAATAGGAAAAGAGAGACATAAAGAGGGAAAGAGAAATAAAGGGGGAAAAGAGAGACATAAAGAGGGAAAGAGAGAGATAAAGAGGGAAAGGGAGATAAAGAGGGAAAGAGAGAGATAAGGGAAAAGAGAGACATAAAGAGGGAAAGAGAGGATAAAGGGGGAAAGGGAACATAAAGAGGGAATAAGAGAGAGATAAAGGGGAGAAAAAGAGAGACATAAAGAGGGGAAAGAGAGCATAAAGAGGGAAAGAGAGAGATAAAGAGGGAGATAAAGAGGGAAGAGAGAGGTCGTTCCTTTCACCTCACCCATCATGGAAGTCTTTCAATAGGTTTCGAGTAAAAAGGACCTGGGCGCCTGTGTTGTTTGTTATTTTCCGGAGGTGGAAAAGCCTCCGGAGGACGATGTGCCGCGACAGCTCGGCGACGCGAGCATCTCCAGGCGAGGAGAGGCAAGGAGAGCAAGGGCCAACTCACTTCCCTCCCCCACCGGCGCATGCGCCGTCGCAGCGACCATTCTATAAAAAGACTGTGCGTCGAGCGCTTCCAGCTGAGCGAAACCTCTGCGAAAAGGAACTAGCACTCTGGCCCGAAGCGCCGCAGGCACTCGGCAGCCGAGGGCGCACCATGGCGGCGCAGAGCTGGGTCGCCCGCTTCCTCCGCGCCCTGACGGCCGTCGCCCTGCGCATGCGCCAACCCGCGCGCCGCGCTTTCGGCTCCGTGCCCGCGGCCGTCGCCATTTGCGCCTTCGTGGTTGGGGTAAGTCACCTTCGCCGCGCCTCTTCGCTTCACTTGCGTACAACGAAATGAGTGCAAAGATTTTTGTATTCTAAAATCAAAAACATTAACGCAATATAACAGGTAAAATGTGAGAAATTACGGCGAGACAGAAATTAAAATGAGACATTGGGGGCGAGGCATCGGAAAATGAAAATTAACTATTGGTTTGGTAAATTTTGGACAATTAAAGATTTGTTTGCAAAAGAAAGTACATTAAAATAACGTAGGACATTGTTGACATGACAAGAGAAGACTACACGTTTGGCTGCGGGGGCGACAAGAGCGCATCAAATTGAGGTAGTAACAATCAAAACAAGTGGATTTTTGCATCGATTGTAGCTGAAAAAGGAACTCCTTTTCTTAGAGTTAGAACTAAAATGGATTTAGTAGTGGGAGGACCTAGGGCCGATAGAGATTAAGAAGCTAAGGTCCATTAAGATGGCGTAATATTCACTTTGCAGTATAATATTCTTTGGTAAAGAATTACACAAATGTATTTTTTAATGTATCACGCTGTTAGTACGCACATTTCTAGCGATTTGTAAACACAATTGCAGGTGCGAGTGGAAGTGCTTCAAATGACTTCCAATTACGTTTTTTGAAAACTCAAAAATGTTCTGTGAAAAAGAGCTTGAAATTTCGCATTTACAGTAACGCTTACTTAAAGTAAATTTCTTAAAAACGACCTCAACATTTTTATATGTATTTAGAACGAAGGTTTTAGTCTTTAATATTCTGAAAGTAATATTTCTGTTCTGCAATTACTAAAACAAAATAATTGAGAAAATTTCAAAAATATGAATTTTGGTGGCTGTAGATGACAGCTGGCAAAAGTATCTGCCAAGACAGAAAAGCTAGGCCCGACGAAAGAAATTAGAAAACTAAGTAGTACGACAAAGTCTATGTTATTCTCTAGCACCTCTAGTTTACTTTCTCGTAGACGTACGTATATACAGAGTTATAAACGCAGAATAGGCAAAGTGATGTATTGCTGCGGAAAATTGATTTCCATATTTCAACGGAAATATACATCTGCCCGTCTGTCCGTCCGTCTGTCTGTCCGTCTGTCCATCCGTCTGCCCGTTTGTCCGCCCATCTGTGAACACTACTAGCTCCTAAGCCATTCGTAGACTTTTTCCAAAATAGAAAACATCCCTGTCGATCTGGCTCAAGTCGAAGCTTTGAGATTTTGAATAACATTGTGTAGATGAAACACAAATGTAAATGTATCTGTATGTGTTCGTGTGTTTTTGTAAAATGCTTTGTTCCGTAACATATTTATATTATTGGTTAGTTGTATTATATTACTTATTGTATTATTATAACTTTATGTGATAAATTGATGAGTTATACTTAATTACATTTTACATCTTGCAGATATACGACTTTGTCATTGGATTCCATTATCTGGCAGGCAGTGACTATTATTACTTTTTCTTAGGTAAGTGTCTTATTCCCAAGCACTGAAGTAGAACTTGCATTTCGTTTTATCGTATTTTAGACACAATGGAATCTGAAACTAATAGTAACCCAACGAAGTATTTATAGAGACTACTAAAATTTCAACAGGCATGCCTAATTATAATAATTTTAATGTGAAAAAGGCAAACGTTTCGAAACAGACTTGTAATTATCGAAACATTTTCAGTTTTAATGAAATGAGATTAAACTGCTACATTACGCGCACATTTAGCTTTTCATGCACAAAGTTTTAAAAATAATTGGAGAGTTTTTAAGAAAATATTGAAATCTAAAAAGAAGTTTTAATGAAAGTATACACGAATTTAATAATATAAATATTTTATAAACCATATTTGCATACTATTTTATAATCCGATGCTGTTGAATGTCAATATTAGTTCTCTTATACTACGAGAAAAACGTAAAAAGTTGTAGCATTATTATTCGATGTACTTATCATGATTCTATACGAGTTAAATCAACTAGTGAAGATTAATTCATATTTTATTAGGATTTCGGCAAATGAGATACATTGCTGCCTACACTGCATTTGCCTCTTCATTGTCTGATGTGGTTTTAGTATTCGGCATCTTTCAGGTCAGTACTCTCATTGAAAATATCTTCCAAATAAAGTATACACTTGGTTCATTCAAAGTATTTTTTCGCGCTCTTTTACCAAAACAAGATGCACCTGTGTTTACAGAGAGAAGAACAGAATCTTCAATACGTAGTGTGCGCTGTGCTTGCACTGTTCACATTTTGCGGCCTAATGCCTTTCATTATCTTAATCCTTTCAGCTTGTTTAAGACAATGGATTTCAGGGTTATGGGAAATACCTCGCCTGTGTAAGTATGAATCGGTTAATCAAAATGCCAAACTTGGATGTATTAATTGTTGGATTTTATCAAACCATCAATGATTTTATTTAATTGAAAATTAAATGAAATCATTGATGGATGCTGAACTTTTACATTTGCATGCTGACTTAAAATTAGACATTCATACTTTTCTAAATTGTGTTTAAATACAGTGAAATGCCCTTCATTAAGTAGTTGAAGTTGCATTTTCATTAAAAAGGGAATTGAAATTCACAGAATCCCAATAATTGTCTGGGATGTTAATGCCTTGGGTCTGGTGTGCGTCCTTTTCCATTTGCAACCTTTAGTGGTAACTAATTCTGAAAAACTTTGGACAACCGTTTGTGATAATTATGCATTATAATGAACAGAAGTAATGGCTCACACATTCACATGTAGTGTAAATGTAGCACCATTTTCTCATTTCTAGACCGCAGAACTTCATGTAATTGCACATTTTTAATGATTGATCATATCGAAAGGAAATGTATATAACTTAACCTACCACCGAAATTAAATCAAAGGGGCCCATTTATATTTTGCATAATTGCATATTTCTGGCATTTTTTATTAACTGAATATTTGTATTTATGTAGCATATTTAAGAGAATATATTCCAGGTTTTTGCGTAGACGAGGGCTGAAGCGAGATATTTTCTTTGCTTCATAACTTTTTGTTTATTATAATGTTTCAAAATATATTTTACAATACGCGTTTTGTACTACAATCTAAAATAAAGATTTATATAAAAAATGTTATCTGTTGCTTACTATATTTTTGTTTAACGTATATTCTGAGTTTTTAGCGCGTGTATTGGCTAGTTTAAGTGCAAAGATTGCATACATAATTTTAACTTTTTAGCTGCATGATGTTCCGGGATCTTCTCATGGCACTTGGAGCGATAACTAAATATTTTTTTAGCAAATAACTCACAATCATGTCACAACAATGAGACGTAATTCACAGTATATGCGAGCGTACACGCGGAATTCCATTGTTGATAGTCCCTAAAAGCTAACAATTTTTGTTTCATAATATTTCCAAAAGTGTTTAAATAATTTCTGAGAGAATAACATCTAAATGTATACAAAGGACGAAGTGAAAAACAAACGAACAAAAAGCATTTTCAAACAAACTCTGACTTACGGAAGCACCTAACTGCGTGGAATCATTCACGTATCGCAGTCAAAATGGCAGCGGACATTTTTAACTTTATCACCAATTTTACACAAAAAATACTATTTTCAAAAAATTGATCGTGACCTTATTTGAATTGTCTTGATACACACATTTCATTAAGAAAAAGGTTGTATTTTGACCATTGTACTAATAAGAAAAACGTTGAAAATCCAAGCACAGTCAATTCGAGCGGATTATTATATCGTGTCGCTAAATTACACAAAAATATTAGTATTTTTAAAAAATTTTCAACATGACTTTGTTTTAGATCTGCTTTTTATGGTAACATTTATTAAGAAAAATTGTATTGTATCTTCAAGATAGTTGTAAAATTGCAAATTGCATAATTTCGCAAAATCACGTATTTAACTGAGACTTGTACCATTCTCTGAAGCGTCATTCATGCGACATTCAAGTTTACAATTAATAAAAAACAACATTGCGGCGGTTTTTAAGAAGCTGCCTAAATAAATAAAATTGTCTTGCTTGACACAAAATTTCGAAAACAAATATCTTTTTTAAAGATCTGTTTTGATAAAAAACGTTTCCTACGAAAAAATGTATCAAATACTTGTGGAAACAGCGGAAAAAATTTTGACTTTTTCAATTTCGTTAAATCACATAAGACCATATCATTTTCTTAAACTTTTCAGAACTGTTCACCAGCAAAATGTCATCAAAAACTGTGAAGAGTTTATGAAAAAAAATTTTAAGAAAATAAAAATTGGCCTATCTTCACGCAAGACGTATGCAAAAAATACTCAATTGGTTTTGAAATATTGTCAGTGATCTTGCTTATAAACAATGTTTCTATAAGGAACAAGATTTATTAGGGAAAAATTTTATTTTTATTTTCTTAAGTCTCGAGATACAACATTTTTATTGCCAGTGCATATACCCCACTCCACTTTCTTCCTCTGTCTGTTGCTGGCCTGATTTTGCAGGAAACAGATATCGACCGCCCTCAGCCGCCGGCCGAAGTCAATCCACGCACGTCCGGAGAAGAGCCATCACCTGCTTAAGGACGAAGAAAAGGGAAACGGCAAAGGTGTTGCGAGGCACATGAACATCCTGTCAGCTCCAGCCCTCTGCTGAGTCCCAAAACCAATACATCAGGCCGTCATGCAAAAGCGCTTCCTTTACGTCGGAAATGCTTGCCTGTTAATTAGGCTTTCATGTGCCGCCGAGTTGAATGATAGATAAATACTGCCATGAAAATTTACACACTGACATACACCACTGTTAGAATTACAAGAGTTTCATTAACAAGCTTAGACTAATTCCCCAAACTTACCGAGACTTTGTTCCCCATTAACATATAATACCACAACCTGTATCTATAATTACCAAAGTTATTTTTAAAAGATGATGAAATGTTGATGAAAATTTACTGCTTTCTCTATTAGAATAATGCAAAGTGTTGGATACCCTTAATCAAAAAGACAAATGTGTCGAGCTGAAAATCTTCAACCGATTTGCGTTATCTAGTATGCATTAGTTAGTTTGAGGTTACCTCATCAACTGCTCCACAGCAACTTTAAATTCAATTGAAGGGAACATCCAAAAATATCAACATCGCCTATCCATTATTTTGTGGTGCTCACACAGGTATTAATTTTTCGGCCAAACCTTGTTTACATACATAATTTATTATATATATATATATATATATATATATATATATATATATATATACATACATATATATACATATATATACATATATACACGAACGTATGCATACACAAAATGTTTGAGAATAAATGTTATAGACCTCTGGTACATGTAGGATGATTAAATAATGTCTCAAAAAGGTGACGAATTATATACAGTTATACATTGGCATTTGCATGTTTTATAGGTAACCCATTTCATCCCTTAGTTTCAACTATTTTTAAAAGAATTAATGTAATTCATAAACGTAATATATATTTGTACGCTTAACAATGAGTTGTATATTTTTTAAGGTGTTTTTAGTTGTTTGTGTTTTAATTGCCACACAAATTAAACAATTTTTGCGAAGCATAATTGCTGTTCTCGGGAAATAAAAACGAAGAAATCGTTATCGTAACATTCATGCTCCATTTCAGTTTAATAAACTACCAAATGAAATAAACAAGTCACGTATTATTTATTGATCAGACGCAGGGCCTTATATTGATAACAATGTTGGTGTAAAAATATTGTTTTTGCTTATTTGAATAATTATACTTGCATTTGTCATCTGTTGATATTTATCGCCATGCTTTTGAGATAAATTGCAACACCAAACACTATGTTAATTTGTGACGAATTGCACTTTGACTTTAAAATAAGAAGGATTTGTTGAAATAAACGCATCTAGATATTCAAATTGCATGAACCCAATCGGCAACAGTGCGGTAGCATTGTTTAAATTTAGATTTATTTAGTAAACAAACAGTAAAATCTCTATGTGACGTATGGGGGAGAAGATAATCTTTTCACATTTCATTTCACATTTCACAATCACATTTTCTTGAGTTCCAGAATCCCTTCCCATCATTTTAACTATAAACAGTTGAAAGATGAGTAAGAGTTAAAATAAATAAAAATATAATTTAAAAACGGCGCATTTTCGTTCCCGAGTTATAGAAAACTTAAAAACTTTCAGAAAATTATAGTTGTTGAAATCTATTTAGTAAAATGACTCCTAAACAAAGCGTTTTAGTGACTTAAAATCAGGGACATTGTGGTCAATGGCCTCAAAGCACGTTCCTCGCGCTGTAATCTATAGGACGAGAGCTTTTTCGACAGTCTATTACGTTTTGCTAGTCCGGCGCTTCTCGATACTACCCCACGAATTCAGAGACGTGCAGAATCTGCAACTGTTTGTGGAATTAAACTAATTACTGATATTCGAGGCGTTTGAATTGCACAGGTGTACCTCTCAATTCGGTAATAAAGTTAAATAATATTCCAAACAGTAGGGTTCTACTTGTCCGATCTTGTGCTGACAAGTTCACATGACTTTCTTAAGAGTGAAAATATTTTCTAATATCATTGTGACTATTAAGGAAAGAGAAAAGCTGTCAAACAAGATTGTCTATTTACTTTCAATGGTTTTAAGGAATTGCTGCGAATTGTTTCATGAAAATCTGTCTAACATCAAATAATCCTGAAATAAAAATTTGTTTCAAGCATTAACTTAATTGATTCTTAATTTAATTTGTTATTATTGTACCACAGAAAGTATCTGCAAACATTTCTGAAAGAAATAAGTTCGTTTCGTTAAAAACTTTTCGTCATAGCTTGGTAATGGAAAAATAGAGATGTACTTCTTTATTGGTACGTTTTTAACAAAAAGGCTCGTTTCAAGAGCTAGCTTACAGGTACTCAAATTTTCGAAAAATTTAACATGATCTTATGTCAAAATCTGTCTTTAAAACGTACATTTCATTAACCGTTTCAGACCCGGCGCCCAGTGGGCCGGAGACAACATTTAATTGATTATGTCTGACACTTAATTGCGTCAGAATTGTTCGCTGATTGTCATGTTTTTATCGTTTCTTGAGAAGCTATATATACTTGTATATATTTGTAACTATATGTTTGTGTCAACCATTTTTAGAGTAAAACCAAATAATTGCTTAAAGAAAAAAGTTTACTACGATCAGAAAAATAATGAAAGGAATGACTCAGAGAACTAATACGGGAAAATCTATTTCTTTTGGCTTCTTGGCTATTTCTTGTTGCTAACCGAGAGGTTAGCTATTCGAACTTCTCACATTTTCTTACCTTCTGCCATCTATCGCGGCCAAAAGTCAATTTTTTAAACATTTTTCTAATTTTTCGGTTTCCTAATTGTAGAGCGGAAATATTGCATATCAGCAAGATTAATAAATATCCTTAATAGCACGTCCTAAATAGCAATTTTCTTTAAAAATATTTGGAGCCGTTTTTAGAACACTGGCGTTTTAGCGTTTCTGTAAATTCGAAATTGAAAAGTTGTTGAGATTTTTTACAACTTAATTTGAAACCATTTGAAATACATTAACACACAAAAAAACAGTATTTATTAATTGATGGAAATTTTCGTATAAACGATGTAAGAGATCTTTCAAAAATTTGCGTTTGTGTATTTTATGAAAAAACAAAAAAAAATACACCAAAGTTATGTCCAAATCATATTAAAGAGTGCATTTATCAGTATCGGTTTGAAATGTTTCACGAGATTTCACAAGACTTTACGACATCTCGAGAAATTTCACGAGATTTTACGACATTTCACAAGATTTCACGAGAATTCACGCGATTTCACGCGATTTCACGCGATTTCACGAGATTTCACGAGATTTTACGAGATTTCACATTTCCCGAGATGTTACGAGATGTTACGAGATTTCAAGAGATTTCACGAGATCTCGCGAGATCTTGCGAGATATCACGAGATTTTACGAGATGTCGCGAGATTTTACGAGATGTCGCGAGATTTTACGAGATTTTACAAAATCTCGCGAGAACTCGCGAGATTTCACGAGATCTCGCGGGACTTTAAGAAATTTCACGAGATTTCGCGACATCTCGCGAGATTTCACGAGATTTTACGAGATTTCACGAGATATAATGAGATTTTACGAGTGATCACGAGATTTCACGATATCTCGCGAGATCTCGCAAAATCTCGCGAGATTTCACGATATTTTACGAGATCTCACGAGAACTCGCGAGATTTCACGAGATTTTACGAGATCTCGCGAGATTTCACGAGATTCTACGAGATTTCACGAGTTTTTACGAGATCTCGCGAGATCTCGCGAGACTTTACAAGATTTCACGAGATCTCGCGAGATTTCACGAGATTTCACGAGATTTTACTAGATTTCACGAGATTTCACGAGATTTTACTAGATTTCACGAGATTTCACGAGATTTCACGAGATTTCACGAGATTTCACGAGATTTTACGAGATTACACTAGATTTCACGAGATCTCGCGAGATTTCATAAGATATAACGAGATCTCGCGAGATTTCATAAGATATAACGAGATCTCGCGAGATTTCACGAGATTTTGAGATCTCGCGAGATTTCACGAGATTTTACGAGTTCTTGCGAGATATTGCGCGATTTCTTGACGGAGGAAGGACTGACTGACCTAATGACGGACGGATAGACAGAGAGACAGAGAGACGGACAGACGGACTGACGGACGGACAGACAGACGGACTGACGGACGGACTAACGAACGGACAGACGGACGGACTGACGAACGGACAGACGGACGGACTGACGGACTGACTGACGGTTTTGAAGGACGGACTTTCGATCTGACGGACTGACGGACGGACTAACTGACGGACTGGTGGGCTGACGGGCGGATGACGGATTGACGGACGGACTGATGAACGGATGGACTGGCGGACGGACTGGCGGACGGACTGACGGACTGACGGATCGACGGACCGATGGACTGACGGATCGACGGATCGACGGACCGACGGACCGATGGACCGACGGACCGACGGACCGACGGACCGACGGACCGACGGACCGACGGACCGACGGACCGACGGACAGATGGACCGACCGACCGACCGACCGCCGGACCGCCGGATCGACGGCCGACGGACCGACGGGCCGGCTGATTGACGGACTGACGGACTGACGGAATGACGCACTGATAGACTGACAGACTGACGGTCGGACGGACTGATTGACTTCCTGACTGACGGTTGGACGAACGAATAGACGGACGGACGAACTGTCGGACGGACGGACGGACGGACTGACTGACGGTTTTGACGGACTGACTGACGGACGGACCGACAGAATACCTACGTATGCGAGAAAGGTAATAGGAATAATCAGTGCAAAGAATAATTGAACATATTTGAAAAACAAATAGCTAGTATAATAAACCTGTTGGGCTTAACTTATTTTTATTTATCTAAAGAAAATGTAATTTATTAACATTTGAAATGTGTTAATGCTTTTAGTCATTTACTTTTGTATGTTTGTGATATGAGTTGTTATTTACAGCAAAACAACCCCAGTGAAGACGTTATGCTGGCCTAAGGAAATAAAAAATACTAAAACAGAAATAAAGTCTCACGACGCCCGTGTTTACAAATAAAATAAAAACCCTACAAGCAATTCGCGTCAAAAATGCTAATACTGAGCGAGGAGATAGAACAGCCGAGGCTAATTTGGGCATGGGTTATGTTTTTCTGGAAGTCTTTATTTTCATTAGGTGTCAACGTACAGGACAGGGCGTCTGTGTTGTTTGTTATTTCCCGGGGATGGAAATGGCAAGAAAAGCTCGAACTGCCGCGTCAGCGCGGCGACGCGACGGAGAGTAGCAAGGAGAGCAGAGGAGGGAGAACCTCTCCTCTTGCCGAGACGCGCGCATGCGCAGTCGGTGGGTGAGTAGAGCGCTTCCCGCTGTGCAAAAATCTCTGCCGTAAGAAAGGCGTGGCCGATCTCTACATCGCAAGCGACTTCACCGGCCGACACTGGTGCAGCGCGCCGCGGCGCCGGCAGTCGAGGGCAGGCGGCACAGAGGTGCACCGTGCGCGCGATGGCGCCGGCAGCACTGCGCATGCGCCAACCGCGCCGCGCCGTCGGGCCCGTGCACGCCGCCGTCGCCATCTGCGGAGCCGTCGTCGGGGTAAGTCAGCGACCCTGCGATGCCACTGTACCCCACGCCTTCCGTCTACTTCTGGTTTATTAACTTTCCGGCGCTCGCGCGATTTAGTGTCCCGTGCGCGATCGTGGACGAGCATCATTCCCTTTTCTCAATATGACAGTTGCTCTTGATCGTCAGCCACGCGGAGTTTTAATTAACTGGGCATTACGTTATATTAAAAGTTTATTGAAACAATTTTAATGATTCTCCAGTAAAGAATTTTACTGGAAATAATCTGCAAAATCAGTCTTCTACTTTTACGTCACCCAACACTGATGACAAATTCATACATTACAATAATGACGTAATAAAAATCGAAATTAAAATGTAATGGGGTATAAAAGTAAAAATATAGTACGTATGATAAAGGGGTGGAGAGAAAAAGTATAGGTAACTAAATATTTTATAATAAAAGGAGAATATAAAATATAGAAATCTAGTGTACTACATTCCGTTGAAATTACTTACAAATTACACGTAATTAATAACCAATTTATTTACAACACAATTTACAACAAATTAATTAGCATAAGATGATTATTATGACTTATTTATGGCACAGGCGTCATCTCTCAGGCGACGCAACTAGTGCCGAAAGCTTCCCCCACCCTTCCTCCTCGCTCCCGGGTCTGAACTGTTGTCCATGGTGCTGTTGTGGGACCTGCATAAACGCTCGTCCCGTCGTGGGGGCGCGCGCGCGTTGGCGTTGGCGTGGGCAGCGACGGAAGGCGGGGAAGCGGTGCGGGAAGAAGCCTCTCTCTCTCAAACTCTGCCCAAATACTATGGAGACAATACAGGACACTCGACCTTTTTCATACTTTAAATGGAAGACAACTTGTCCCTAGCGAACCTAGTGACGTGGCCTGGAAAATAGGCGACTAATTCAAATTTCATTACATACACAATACTTACGTTTCACAGAGTGATTCGAAAGTTAATTGTAAGTATACTAAAAACCTTTCGAACTTCTACTCTTCGTACTTGATATCACAATGGTTATGACAGGTCGGGCCAGTAGGGTCGCAAGCTTTAAGTGTCTCCCGTTGTATCGCCGAGTATCCGGAATTGTCTCTATAGTATTTGATCTGTTCTTACCTTCATTCTGTGATTCGCCAGAGGAATACACTTAATGTGCGCGTTCCCGTTTCCTGTATACGCCAGTACTCTGCTAGACTGCGCCTTTGTAATAATGCTTGACACAGGATGCCTTTGAAATCTAGTGTTAATAGGGAGCGGATTGTTATATATTACATATTTTATCTCAACTTTTTTTTCTTGTTGGTTCTAGGTTCCAATATGAAATTACATGTTGGGGTGATGTCCCATTATATCCTTTACAAATTTTAGTGTGATAACAATATCATTTAAAGCGAAGTATGAACATGCACGGGCATTTTTTATCTCAAAATTGTCCACTTAAGACATTAATACATTTTGTAATGTAACTTATCATTGTATAATAAATCCTAAAAATGTTTTCATCAGGAGCACTTAAGAAAGATACGTAAAGTTGTCCATGCAAAAGTACAGGATCGGCCAAGTAACACCCTACGGATTGGAATATTATTTAACTTTATTACCGAATTGAAAGGTACACATGTGCAATTCAAGCAATTCAATTGCGAAGTACGCACTGAAAGAAAAGTATGCTATGTATGGCTATGTGAGAGGTGACAATGGTTTTCTTATGAACGAAGGATCTCGGTAAAACATAAAAACCTTTTATCTTTATTCGACGCTTCCATATTCCAAGTTCTTCCAACAGAACACTCTACAATCGCCTTTCACAACCCGCGTCGCATTCCGACCAAATCTGACTCCAGTGTAGACAGTATTTATTTTTTGTTTCCTTCTTTTCCAACAAACAAGTTATTTTTCATACGACCAGCGAAAGATTTGGAATCACTTGCAGTAAACCAACTAGCATCTGAACTAATTTCAAGAAATCAGATGTTTGTGTATCTTCAATTTTATGTTCTTCGTTCCTTGTAAATATCGTTGAATTCTCTTTAAAGCATAAAAATGTGTTTTACTTATTGTGAGAATTTGATATAGCTATGTTCTAAATCAAGACATGTTCTAATTACTAAGTATTCAACACACCGAAGTTTTTCCACATACAAATTCTCATCAACGTTTGCCGATTCTTCATAATTACATACACTTGCCCAATTACCTCTAGTTTTGACAGAACTACAAGATACCATTTATAATCTTTCCAAGATATTGAAACATTTGGATTAATTTAAAATAAATTCGTCTTGATGTCTTTTAACTTCAATTTCAAGAAATACTATGGTTCCAGCGATTACTTTATTGTTAACACTTGCTTCAATTTTTCAATCAATTCGTCTATTATTTCTTTATTTTGCCCTAGACAATCGTCGACTAAAACCCGATAACCATAAATTTCCTCTCCCCATTTATAAATAAGCGTGGATCAAATTTATTCGATTTCAACCCACATAACCTTACTAGTTTATTACATAATATTTCATGACAGCAACGACCTTCCTCTCGTAAGTCGTTTAAATTCTTTTTCAATTTTAATACTATCATTCCTTCTTCAACAAAGACACCTTTTGGAGAATTCGTGTAAAGCAGGGCTATCCTACTTAGAAGAGCTTATGAGCCACGGTAGTAGTTTTTGCAATATACGGCACTACAAAGTGCAAAGTGCAGTGCATGTATCATGGATGTACTCGTATTTGTCCAATACATGCCATTCTGATAATGAATAAGCTGATGTTGAAGTTAACATATTGATTAGGTTAATATTTGGTTAATTTAGGTTAACATAATTAAGGAGTATTTTACTACTAACTCGAAAATGGAGTAGTACTGACCATATTTCAGTTGTTCTATCAAGTGCCTAACTATCTCATACAATTAATATGGTATATGAATGCTTTAATGTTTTATAATGTACGGTATTATGTGCCGGTATGGTGACCGGTCATAGAATGTACTGATATAGTTTATTATACTACTGTTTTATGTATTTTTGAAGTGTAATGATCATCGCAGTACATTTACATATGTTTGTATTTTTATAGTAAATGTAGATGTATCAGTAGATTTTCATGTGTTTTTGTAAAATGCTTTGTTCCATAACATTTTATACTATTATAAAATAATACACAATATAATATATTCTTATGTGCTGTATCGATGAGTTATACTTTATTACTTTTTTCATCTTGCAGATATACGACGTTGTCATTGGAATCCATTATCTGCAAGGCAGTGCCTATGATTTATTTCTCTTAAGTAAGTAACAAATTGCGTAGCACTGAAATAAAATGTGCGTAATGTTTTATCTTCTTTTATTGCGTCTTTGTTTAGACATAATGAATTCGAAAACCAATAGTAGTAGAACGAGATATTTATACAGACTAGTATTATCTAAACAGACATACACATTTATAATAAATTTACTATTAAAACCATGAACGACTCGAAAAAATAGATTGAAAAAATAGATTAAAAAATTATCGAAACACGGTATTAAGGAAATGAGCATGAGCTATTACATTAACCTCACATTTTGCTTTTCACACAGTGTTAAAAGAATAATTGGAATGGTTTTGAGAGAAAAGAGGAATATCGGATAAAATGGAATACCGTTTTTTATTTCTTAGCATTTACATTCTAATCAAACTGTTTAGAACACTGAATATGAAATGAACCCAAACTACAACAGTTTTCAATTATTTGTTTAGAAAATTTAAAAAAAACTTTTTAATGGCAATATTTGTTTTAAACATTGCAGTTGGTTCAAGTTTAAGTTCAAAAATAAGTTTTGGTAGAAGTATACCCGTATATAAATTATAAAGGACTTAGCTCCTCCCAGTTGTTAAACGTCACTTATGATTTCTCATATGCTGCGGAAAATCTGTGCAAAGTTGTCGCATCATTATTCAATGATCACATCATAATTGTATACGAGTTAAACCAACAAGGGAAGATAAGCACTTTTTTATTAGGTTTTGGAGTGAGATACATTGCTGGCTACACTGCATTTGTTTCTTCATTGTCTGAAGTGGTTTTAGTATTCGGCGTTTTTCAGGTCAGTATTTCCCAATGAAAATGTCTTCGAAATAAAGTATACTTTTAGTTCAGAGTATTTTTTTACCAAAACATGATGGGTCTGTGTTTACAGAGAGAAGAAAAGGATATTTATAATAGAGTGAGCACTGTACTGGCGCTGTTCACATTCTGTGCCTCATTACCTCTCATTATCATAATCATGCTAGCTTGTTCAGAACAATGGATTACACTGTTTTGGGAAATACCTCGCATGTGTAAGTATGTTTATCAAGTCGGTATATAAATATGCCAAACGTAATGGATTAATTGTTGCATTTTTATTGAATATTAAATTAATTTATTATTGCATGCTGAATTTTTACATTTTCATATCAACTTCAAAAAAAACATGCATAGTTTTCTAAATTGTGTTTGGATATAGAAAAGTGCCCTTCATCATGTAGTTGAAGTTGCATTTTCATTAAAAGGGTCGGGAACTGGAATTCACAAATCCCAATATTTGCTTGGAACGTTAATGTTTACGGTCTGGTCTGCGTCCTTTTTCATTCGCAATCTATAGTTGTAACTGATACTGAAAAATATTGGACAACCGTTTTGTGATAATTATGCATTTTAATTACTACACCGTAATTTGTAAGTTACAGTTTCAATTAATCGTTACTGTTATTTATGATTTAGTAACATAGTTAAAAGCGGACGTATGATTATGTTGGTCTAAGATGTTAGGGACTTGTTAAGAATAAAGACATTCATATTTTCACTTTAAATGTTTGATAGTCATATACTCTGGTACATAATGTTGTTTTATTAGTTACTAGTAATTATTAAAAATGTTTCTGTCTCTGGAAACGAAGCAGAGACCCTAAAAAAATTTTAAAAATCAATAGCCCACCTTGACACCCAGGAAACGTCAATTGCAGTATTGCGAAACGAGCCACTGTTTTCCAAAATAAATTGTATAAGTTGATTTCTTATGATCAATTATACGATAAAGGAATAGACATGCAAGTCACACATTTGTATAAAAATTATCAAAATACATCAAGAATTTTCTGTTCATATTCGCCGTACAACACTTGATACAAGCATTACTGAAATTGCAAGAGAGTTTGTTGAAGTATAATTGTGTAGACAATGAAAGATAATTTTGTAAGCAGCATTGTATTATTCTCTATGGCAGAGATTGTTATGATTACAATTCATTGCGGTTGATTACGACGGATTACGCCGAGTTTAACTTACAAAGTAGTTGTGCCCGTTCGACGTGGAGAACTCCCTGCGTAACGGCCGGCAGCCGTGGAAGCTGTTCTCTCCTCTGTTTAGAGGGGGCCGGTGCCAGCCTGTCCTAAGCTAGACGGTATCAAGTGAAGTAGGCTTCCTCGACCAGAGTCTTACGAATGCTGTTGGCTGTCCGAGTGAGGTCGTGTTGAAGACTCCGGTGACGACATTTCTCCATTTTGTTGAGCGTCGACAACTCTGGCGCAGACCAGCCCTAAAGAGGACCACGACAAGATGGTCGAAACGTCGGCACCGCAGATTTCAACGCGACGACAGACGGTACCAACATTGCGCTCGGGGGAAATAATAGGAAGTGCGTGACGTAACGAAACCAAAGGTGGCAACGTAACAGTAGTTGTACTTGAAAATTGGAATTGTAGCTAAAATGTGCAAAAGTTTAAGCTTCTTTCGGCATTATCCTGCAACTACAATAGTTAATATTTCTACCTTAAAAAATTCGAACATCAAAAATATCTTCAAATAAAGGCACGTTCTATATTTCGAAAATGTGATTCTTTCTTGAGTATTTGCGTAAAACCCAGGGAATTTGGAAACAATTGTTTCCACAAAAACGGCTACGAATTTTTCCTTTAACTGTTTTCTTCATATGTAGCGAGAAAGCCAAAGAAATTGAGGTTGGTCCCACTTTCGCCAATGCCACTGTATTTTCAAAATATGCAAAAAATTCGAAGTTGTAAATTCAAATTTCCCGAAAGAAAATGTCCCAATTTAAGACAGGTTCTTTGACCATAATTTATATTTTCGTCTGCCAGTGCAATCAAGGTATTATACAAACTCATATATATATATTCAAAATTTGTTGACTATTCTTGCTTATGGTATTACTTTTCTTACATACTTTCTTAAGTTTTACATAATTCAAACTCTCTGGCGAACTGAGATTGAGCTAGTGTAACGGAAATTTCCAAAAAAGACGCTAATAACTTCTTATTATTTACTGGACGACTCGTTGGGACCAGTAATTTTCGCTGAGAACGCCATCTGTTGTACCCCATGCCGCCAGCGCTTCGTGTGGTTTTAACACCTACTGATGCATCAGATATCTTGGACTTCTCTGACTGAAGTCACTTGAGCTGACTGAAACGTTTAGTATTTGGATTAAATTTCTTCAAAAGCAAGCAAAAGAAAAAACTCGTGAGTGCCTGATACCGAAAACGTCAATGGATTTTGTTCCAATTTGTTGCAAAAATTGGCGAGTCTGTGAGCACATAAAAACCTTTTTTAAAACCGATTTTAACTACGTTTTACATACACTTTGTGGAACTCATCCCGGATCTCCGATAACTATGGGACAACCTGTGCTTTCACACCTCACAATCGGCCGATTTCGATTTCCAAACATGTGTACGTTTCCCTGACTTTGATTACGACATTTTGATTACCCTGCACAGCCACATCTACAAGTAGAAGTTTTTTCTCCAAATCCCGAATAACAATATCCAGTTTGTTTGCCACTATCGTGTGATCAGTTTCAATTTGTTGGCCGTACAATATTGTACACAGCATTTGTGTACAATATTGTACGAGCAACCAGTGCACAATATTGTACGCAGTCATACGGGTTTGGTGAGTGTTCGTACCACTTGGAGCACATCTTTGGAAATTCGAGGGCGTTACAGATCTGTCAGTGGAGATAATTGCTCACCATATCGTGAATTTTCAGTATTCCATCTTTGGTTGAATTTGACAAGCTGAGACAATGTGATCAATGGTTTTTACTTGTTCTTGGCAAATATGGATTTATCATCTTGAAGTTTTGAGAACAGCTTTATCATAAACATAATAGCCTGATCATGGGCAGTTATTACAACTGCTTCCCATTCTGGTTTCATTTTTCGCCTTTTAGCCGTATAAATGATTGATCTGTAACTTTTACATTCTTTTTAGATATTGCCCATGGAGTGATTTGCCGCTAAACAATATCTATCCCATTTCATGTGAAGAAAAATCAGTTAAAAATCAGTGTTTTTTTTCGAAATCCATCTGGCTACACTTGCAATTTGACTGTTTCCCAGATTTAATAACCGGTCTCATTTATGGGTCAACAAGATGACTGCCTACATACGCTCACATCCATACTATTTATTATTATTGTTTAGCATTTAGGGTTACATTTATTTAGTGGGTAAAGAACACAGCTAGACCACAAGTTATATAAATACAGTTAACACATTTACACGTAATTATTACGTAACTCTTGAACCTACTATTACTCTTCTGGAGAAGTAGCATGTATATGTAGTTACTGATTGCGCATTAGTGTGCCACAGTTAATAAATATCAGTTTATTTGCAGTGTTATAACTATTCCACTTCTGCCTCATCGGTCTGCTGAAGTGGATGCCAGCGTAAAACAAAGGGTACGCATAAGGGGTGCTACACTTAATAAATAATTTTCCATTGGCATGCTGTACCCGCTCCACTCGCTGCCTCTGGTCAGCCGTGCTGGTGACTACCGTGGAGATCACTGATAACGCGCTAAGAGTGCTACACTTAATAAATAATATTTCATTTGCAGTGGTACCCGCTCCACTTCTGCCTTCATGGTCAGCCTGCTGGCCGAAGCTTGCGCGGGCGGAGTTACCTGACGCGTCCCCTATCGTCGGAGGCTCAATAATAGCAATGCGGCAGAGGGCCGTACACCTTCAAGCCAGCACGAAGAAAAGCGGGAACAGTCAACGGAGCGGCCGGCACATGAACCTTCCCGCCAGCGTCCAAAATCTCTGCTGAGTCCAAACTCAATCTACGTTAGGCGACATTGAAACAAAAAGTGCATGCTCTAGCATGTGAAGTATTGTGCCTCTTATTCGTGGACATCGCAGCTGGACCCTTTTAGAAAAAGTAGTGTAATTCTGCACGATTGCGATTATTTACACCGATGACGGTCAGTATTATTCCATTTTGGTATACATGCAAACCATTTAAGTGTTAGTAAATTATTAGATTCACGCGTATCTGTACTGTGAACTCCCACCAGAGTGCATTCGTGATGTTTTAGCCCTGTTGTTGCGCGGTTGTTATCAGCCAACTGCTTTGAGTCAGACAGCGAAGAACGACGCTTCCTCATAATCAAAAGCACCTAGGACGCCACGAATATCCACCAATTGACTGCATTTGACATATGCCACAGTCTGGGATTTAATGAGGCTGATGTGTCTTGCTGGTTGGTCGTGTAATTGCCAGGCACGAGGGCTATTCAGATGCCACATGACCGATGTTGCAATCAATGGGTTCATGAGTGCACCCATGCACGTCGTGCAAGCTCAGCTCGATCAAGAAACATAATCTCCAGGGAGACCGTCGTACGGTGCGCCAAACAGAGCAGAATTCCATGACGTCGGCTCCCGCCATCCACGATCATTTACTGGCGACTCTACAACATTTGGTGAGTTCCCACACCGTGGCGCGACGACCCACATCCATCGTATTGGGCTCCCACTGCCCCATGAGTCGGTTGCCATTGACCCCAGAACACTGATGTCGGCGTTTAGATTGGGGCCGTATCCTGGAGGCATGTACAGCGAATGAATGGCGTCGGTTCATGTTCAGTGATGAGTCCCACTTCACCATGGCCTTCGATGCCCATCGTGCTCGGGTGTGGCGGCGCGAAGGGTAAAGGGTATCATCCTGTCCGAAATGTGGGGAGGTACACAGGCATACCCCGGGCGTCAAGAGGTGGGGAGCCATCGGATGCGTTTAAATCACGTGTAATAATGTTTCGGCCGACTTCAACGGCAAAGTGATATGTGACAGACATTCTGCACGTCATGCCCCTTGTGGCACAGCACCCTGGGACAGTATTCCAACACGATACTGCATGCCCACATGCAGCACGTGTGTCTATGTACTGCCTAGGAGCATGTTAAGGTCCTCCCATGGTCAGTAAGGTCGCCGAACCTCACCATCATTGAACATGTGTGGGATGGCATTGGAAGTAACCTCCCTCGCAGTTGTTAACCTGCAGGATCTGGAGGAACAGCCGCAACAATTGTGGGCGAAGTTCCGTCAAGAGAGGGTCCAGAGGCTGTTTGACTCCAATCCGAACCCCATAAGGGTATGCATTGTAGACAGACGAGGTGCGACACCTTACTGACCTGGCGCGAACTTTCCAAAGTGTAACTGCAAAGGCCTTGTCTCTTTCATCCCATATTGCAATCAGTTCAATAATGGTCTTTGAGCATATGTAGTTTCATTGACTTCCATCCGCTCCTTCTGGGTGCAACACGTTTTTGTCAGGTAGTGTATTTTGTGTTTTGAATTTTTTAAATTGTATTTTGTACAAATTGTATTTTTTAAATTGTATGTGTATTTGTGTTTAAATTCTCTCATAGATTATAACAACCCCTGTAAATCATAATTGCTGGTCTACACAAATAAAAGCGAAAAAATGTTATAACGAAAGTTCCATGATCCTTTTAATTAAAATAAGCTAAAAAGTAAAATGAAGACTACGCATTTCTTTTCTGTTTGATCAAACGTGCGGATTGGTGAAATTGTTGCTGCGCAAGATGTTCTCTGAAGAAGGTGCAGCGCTTTCTTTAAGATTGGTACTCTTCAGCAATTGATTCTCTTCAGCAATGGAAGAGCGTACAAGTTACTGCACAATCTCCAGAAACGAGACAAGTATACATCTACCTGTTAACAATAGTTATAGCTGTCATTTTTTCTCATGCAAGAATGATATGGTAAACGGGGTCTTTCAATGACAACCTAGTGACTGGTTCTCCATCACTTTTTTTATAATGTGCTATATCATATTTGATAATTCCGGTCTCTAGAGGTAGAAGGTAGCCAGTGCACCTGAATACAAGAAAATCCACTCTAATGTTCTTTAAACTGTTTTAGATCTTGTGACATGGCGTGTTTCCAACAAGAAACAGCGCCTTACGAATTTTCATACTCATATCTAGAGTGCGAAAAAATATTTAGAATAAAACAGAAAATATGAACATACTGATGCAATATAAATGACAACACTATGTAACACATATGTAAAATTGGATACAATATGTAATATCAACTCATGCTTTAATAGTATACAGATCATTTACAAAGAATCACAATAAATGAACACAATTTGGTTTATTGATTGGGGAATTCGAGCGCGTCCACTGCTAAGGTCATTACTTTTGTAACCGATATATCACATGATATATCACAGGAGATGGCGCTGATATTCCCTTGCTGCATGCCGAGATCATGCGCGAACCTACCCGTCTGCTTGTGGGTTTTTGCAGGTATCTCCCACCAGCGGGACTCCACCGCAGGAGGGGCAAGCACTAAGCTCCCGACGGGTCTCCCGGCATGTGTGGTAGAGCAGCGCATGTAAATGTGTGTAAGTAAGGGGTTAGGATAGGACAAGGAAGAGGAAAAAAAGATCGCGCGCCGTCCGTGATGCATTTATTAGGGTACTGCTCCGACATTTACTGGTGTTGATCGAAAAAAAAACGAAAACTACCGATCAGAGTAGCCGGCCACTCGAATTCTCCTCCAAAGTGACAGCTCGACCCAACTATTGAGCTAGTGTGGAAAATCCTATATCCGTCGGGAATCGAACCCTAGAACCTCCAGGTCAGAGGCACTTCAGTGACTCAACTGATACCATTAGCCACCTAAGACAGTACACAAAATGAAATTACATTAATAAAATGTTGGATTAAGAAAAATTGAATTTTGTTTTCGATTGTCCTGCTTCGCCAAGACCAGTATTTTGAGAACTGAACAGAGAAAGAAAAAAGTTACAGTATATGTGATTATATGAGTTTTTTGAATTCTGCCCCTGGCCGGAATTAGCTGTTAGCGGTTTCATCCAATCGGGAGCTTGAACGTCACCATAGTGACGTCAATATGGTGACGATCAAGCTCCCGATTGGACAAAACTGTCGATAGCTGATACCTGCCAGAGGCCGTTGGAAAAATCGCTGTTTAAAAAACCCGGTCCGTAGCCATTGCACCCAGCTTTCCATCGGCCAGGAGCGACTCGAGCTTCGAGCGGGTGCCGCGAGGCGCGTGGCGAGCGGTGCGCGCCGCGGGCGAAGGGCCGGTAGAGGCAGAGGCAGCCGCCAGTCGCGAGCGGGCCATGGCGGTGGAGAGTTGCAGCGCGCGCCTCGTGCGCCACGCGGCGGAGGCCGCCCTGCGCATGCGCCAGCCCGCGCGCCGCGCCGCCGGCTCCGTGCCCGCCGCAGCCACCGTCGCCGCCGTCCTCGTCGGGGTAAGCAACAGCTGCTGCTTGCTTTCTTCCTCTCCGCGCCAACTTTCCGGCTTCACGTCCGAAGACGCGGTTGGTTAATAGCACAGAAATTGGCCGGGCGTGTCGGTTTCGACGTTTCAAATAAGTGACTATGTATGTGTGTATGCAAATAAAAAAAAATCAAACACATACACGTTGATATATATCACGTTAAAGGGGAATCAAATGTTATATTGAACATCTTAATGGAAATAAAATATATGGTGATGGGTCCACCTTTCAAAATTTGCAAGGGGACACGGCACCCTCTGCTCCGTGGGCGCGCATTGTGTACACAGAACAACAACAACAGAGGTTCAAGGGCACCATACTTATTTCAGTGCTTCACTTGGTTGAGTGTGCTATTCACGTTCTCTTACTCGAATACGTCACAATATTGTTAGCTTGGGAGCTGAAGGTACGATCTTGGGGAGAAAGCAATACGAACATTCTGACAATGTGAAGAGAAGGGATTCAATTGAAGGGGATGTTGCCGAAGTATAAGTCCTAGATTCGTAGATTTGGGGGCATTTTAATGCCATGTCCCGTTTCACAAAATACTGGTATTTTTTTTTTCATTTTACGCACCAACAAAACATTATTGGCATAGAGTTTGTAATCGCAAAGTACCCCTTTCTTCTATAGGTTGTATTCAAACCTGAATAGTATCCACTTGGAAGTTGAATACCGTAATTGAATTTATTTTAATTTTGGAATAGTTTTCAACTGCAATGTAAGTCTGTGTTGTAGCTCAACTGAAGCTAGCGATCATTCAAATCAAATCAGGCAAGTCTCTCCACAACATCTCACAACAGCTAAATAAATGGCCGCATTTGACAGGCTATTAACAATATACAAATAATATATTGTTACTTCTAAGATACTCGTAGTTCTTTCATTAATGTTATTTTAATAAATTAGTGAATACTTTACAGATAGGTGAAATTCAAAAACAGAAATAGACGTGACATATGTGTCCTGAATTTTCCAACGGAACCTACTATTAAATCGTATTGTAGATTTTTATGGAGTTAAAACATTTCATTTATGAAATTTTCCAAAGTGAAATATTTAAACCCTATATAAACGACTCTATCGACACCACCTGAAACAACATAAATTCTTATATTTAGAACTAACAATGATACACTTAGTTTTCACAGGTACTCGTAATGGTACGTGCTAACCGAACTGGCAGGAATTGAAATAAGCCTTATATTGAAGCTTTTGTTATTTACAATCAAACACAAAAACCTAATTTTAACGGTGTGTAACTGTAGCTCCATTGTGAAGTAGAACGGTGTCACACACCTCATCACCGCTCTACTTAAACGTGGAGACATCTGTGCTTCCAAACTGTTACTGTCAACGAAACGTCTCAAACATTATAACTGTGCATTCGAATACAAAGGAGATTTCTTGGTCAGATTCTGAAAATGTCCACCATCACGAATTGTGAAATCAGAAAAAAATGTGTGCCTTTGAATTGATGTACTTTTAAATAATCATTTGCGAAATTTGTGTTAGGATATAAGGCATGGTATTGTTCCTTCGGCAGTTGGAGCCCGGGAGCATTACAGTTCTTTCTTTATACTGTGTAAGCAGTAGGCGAGAATGTGAAAAGATAATACTGGGGAACTTCGAAACGTCTTAATGTGTTTAACAACAATTGTAAAGATCTTCTGAATTTTTGAGCCTAATTTCAGTCAATGTTCTGATTTTCTTGATTCATTGAGCAAATAATGGGATTGTTCTTTATTTGAATTCTGAACAATCCAAAAAGCATTTTATCCGTCCCACAAGTCGCATGTAGTTTGTACAGTTGTGTACTTTACTTAAATTTAAAAAAAACAAATATATTAGTAATGTAACAACTAAAATGCCCCTAGCTCCCGATAGCTAGGATCTATCATTTGATTCCCTCATTCTACTCATCCAGTTCTGGACGCCATCAAATCTATAATCCTGTACGCTGAAACTCTGGCTATGGACAGTAAGGGTAGATCGAGTTTCAGGTATATTCGTCGATATACCTCTCATATGTTAATTTAAGAATCACATTCTTAAGGCATTGTCGCTGAACTGTACTCACGGAAAGTACTGGCCTTACTAAATTGTCGCACAAATATCAAATCCCTAACGGAACTCATCTGCGAACCTCAATCCCGATCATAACGCCACTCCTCTTTCTACTACAGCTGGCCTGCAAAAATCTCAGTCTTCTGCCGACGAGACACACTCACTCTTTTAGAGCTTTATGTATTTTTCATTCAACGTATTTTCGTATTCATTTTATCACAGTTTTATTCGGTAATCCGTATTACTGCTCCATTAACTCTGGCAAAAATTTCGAAACACATCTGAAAAAACTTTGTTTTGCTCGGTTGATATTGAATAATTGATACTTCGTGGGCTTTAAATTGTTGCGAGAGGTCCCAGAGTCTGGCTGCGCTGCTGTTTTGAATTATTAACCTACAAGCCCAGTCACATGTATCTTCAATGCACAAAACGTTTTTAGATGGCAATAAAATCGTTTAATAACTATTCCAAATGCCGATGTTACTTTTCAGCTCGACTCAAGTTTAAATAAAGAAATAATATTTACTATTAACATAATTTTTGTAAACAATCCTCAGGAACAGGTCAACCCTCTCGTGAAAATACACGTTTTGCGTTTGTTCTGTAAAGAGCTTGCGCTCGACAACTTTGTCGTCATCTTCTGTAGTGTTTAGAGAAAACCAGGCGACAGTTTGTACCTCAAAGATTGTTTTGCCTAACGACTCTTCACGTCATCTTGCCTAAGTTTCGACAAAGAAGCTGAAGGGTACAACCTCAGTAAGTTAGCAAAATATAGTTCGTTTAGTTTCCAGTTACTTAGCAAATATTTTGCTAACCAAGTCATTTCACGACGTCGAGGTCGGCGTTTCACTTCGTTGAGGTCTGTGTAGGCAAAAATATGAAACATGTTTTTCATTTGCCCAAATGTTAATTTTGCGACGGGAAATTAATACCTAAAGTTATTGAAAAATATTCTCGCTTCACTATAATTAATCGTTTTCACCGTTTGTTGCAAGTGTGACAGAAAGTTAATATTTTGTAACATTAAAGAACAAGATGTCCTTTCATATGATGTATCTAATGAATTAATTTAAGTTTTTAAAGTTCATTTTTCGTCTATTTCGTTATTATTTCTTAGCTTAATGATAATAGGAAACTAGTGGTGCTGCAAGTGCTGCAAGTACTGCAAGTACTTTCTCTCGCGCATTTTACGTGGCGTGAAAGAACGCAAAAAGTACTCAAATTTTTGAAAAACTGTACATGACCTTATTTCAACTTCGATTTTTAAGAAACAGCTCCATCTTTAATATTTTAGTTGTAGATAGACTCCTAAAAAATTTTGAACTTTTGCAATTTTCGAAAAATTAGATTTTTTATCGAAAATGAGACCAGCACCATTCCCTTAAAATCTCTTCACTATATCAAAAAACAAAATTTAATCAAAAATGATGGAGCCATTTGTTTTTCAAAATTTGAAACCGAGCGATACCAGCCAGAGCGATTAAAGAATATCTTTCGAAGAAAATCGGCTGAACTGTTTAGCCGCTAGCGTCGTTCAGAGACAGACAAACAAACAGAGAGACGGACGGACAGACGTTTTGCCGTCATTCGATTTTTCGGTATTAAAGACCAACAAAACATGAATTCTGGCTACACCAAGTGACAGATAATTTTTTTCTAAATTTAGCAACTGGATGTATCCACTTTTTCGTTTCCAGGTCCCTGTAATAAGCATTTTCCTGCCGAAAATTACCTTTTTTCGCGCAATATTATATAACTTTGCATTTACACCGTGGCGAGAAAGTAAAAATGGATGAATTCTTTGAAGTCGACAACATGAGTCTGATAAGATTCAAAGTGAGTTTCCCATAGGATTCTGAGAAATTGAATACAATAGAAATGGCTACTCATCGTTCTCCTGCACCGTCATATCTGCTAGTGCGTCATCTCCAAACAGAGAAAATCTTCAGAAGAAACTTACCACCGTTATTAGATTCAGATAACAATAAATACTCTTCTCTTAACTACACTTCTCCCCGTAACACGTTTACACATAGTTTTTAATCGTTTTTCATGTAAAATAAATTTAAAAAAGTAGAAATATCGCTTTACATGCGCAATTTGAATTAATAAGGTAATATTAAATTCACGAAACAATAAAACGAATAAGGATACGCGATTGATTAAACCAATATTTTATTTCATGTCATGTTCATGTCGTCATGTTCAGGCTTGCTAAAAATGTCATATTCTTCACATTATTAACAGGTCACAGACAGAACTTCTCAGATAGACTAATTGCTTCATCACCGGGTTGAAAATGAGCTTTCATAGTGGACATTTTTAGTTTTTTCTTCTCCCTGGCCCTCAAAGTTCCTGTTCATGAGACGTTCCGAAGACTCTTTTGACTCAACTGTCACATTGAAATCATCTTTGTGCAAGCATATATTCATATTTTCCTCTGTTTTTATGAGAGTGCTTGCTCTATATGATAGGTCAACACTGTCATAATCTTGCTTGAGAATACTGTTACATTGTTATAATCTTGTTTTAGAAGTGTCACGAGATAAATTAGGAAGGATGCAGAGTAGTTGGGATCATTCTAATTATTACAAAGCCCTTACAATCCCTTTCAGGAAAATACCTCCAGAGTCAGAAGTAGCTTCAGAGTAAACATCACATTAGTCACTTTTGATGTTACATTTTGGATTTCGAAGTAATATTATTCTCAAGACAGTGAGATTTGGCATCAAAGTTTCTTTTATTTGGTTAATGTTCACGGCTCGTTGGATTGCAATATAAAAGTGTGACAGCAGAGCATCCAATTTTAACGAAAACATCTCTGAAAATTCAATCACTTGTGTTTTTATAGTTTGTAAGTCTGTCGACGGTTACCCATTGGCTGTAAGTAATCTGTTCAAAATTTTCTAACCCAATCATTGCAACTCTGCAATAAAACAAGATGTTCCAGAAGCCGCTGGACATTTCTTTAATTATCAAGCAGGTTTTGTGAGTTTGAGAGTTATTCTCGAAAGAAATGATTTCCACAGACAAACATTAATTAAACATTTTCATCGTAAATGTACACTAAATCAGGTGGGTACCATAAACTCCTGGAATAATGCATTCATTGGGATGGAGGTCTACTATTCAGAAAATCCTTCTCTCATGTCCCAATATTTGTTCTTAAAGCATTAGGATTTGCACAACAGCAATCGCTTTTGTTTTTGTACTTTTTCTTCTTTCTTAAAATAAATGTTTTTCTTCCCACCAACAGACAGCGGAGTAATCGAATGATTGTATTTTTTTCGTATGACTAGCTTTTCCAAGTACGAGAAACTTTGTATATTTTCTCAATTCTTTAATACTTATGTAAACATTGGTTCAATTTTTTTCAATAATCATGCGCTGTCTTTTTGCAAGTGGCACATGAAGAGTCTTCTTCTATACGAAATACCATTTCTTTAGGGTCTTTTGGAATTACTGTAGTATCTGTTGGGGATACTGCGTCTTCAAAACATAAGGAAAGGACAGTTTTAAAACCCGTTTTCTTATTTTATTATTACCAGTCATGAAAGTGAGTATTCCCTACCAATTTTAACTGTTAACTTCTCTGTCACTGGCCAATATGTTTGCGGTACTCGTAACTTTCGATGACTCTCCCTTTCTTGTAACACTTTTTATTGACTCATCGCGAGAAGACATTTTAAAAATATTTATTCGATTCATATAGCAAAATCAGAGAACAGTCGGTTTTCAATCAACGTTAACTGTGCTCTTCCCTTCTATTTTTTTAGATTGAATGACATAACGATCGTCTTGTGTTAGAGATACCCTAGCAATAGGAGTTGTTTATAAATAAAGCCAGGAGTAGATTCTGACAGAACCCTTGTATGGTTCTGCGACCCACAACATGACGTAAGTATCAATCTGGCTTCACATTTAGACGTCATGTTATTGAAGCCCCGTAGAGCCGCTGGCTAGTAAGGCGCGTCGAGGGGGAGGGGCGGTACCAAGACTCGGTCAACGAACTGCTTTTTAAATGTTGTGTTCCAGTTTGAAATTTGGTAGATAGTAGCAAACAACGTTACTGTAGATAATAAGAGTATTTTTAAATTAATTTCAATGTTGCCCGAATGTGAAAATTTGTATTTAGGAATTAAAAAGTCATAAATGTGTACATGATGAAGATGCAAATGTTATTTTTAAAAAAATACATTCACATCATAGAAAAAGTGTATTTCTGTAGTTTTAATTTAAGTTTATATATTGTTTTCTAAGTAAAAAGACGACGTGTGAAGAGTATTTAAACATGCTCGCCAAGAATTTTGAAAAAAATATTCGTCGTATTTCTGAAGAAAGAGGGTATAGAGAATTTCGGTTGAAAGAATCAAAGAGAGAATTTCGGTCATTTATTTTTACTCATATTTCGTAAAAAGAATTGTGACCTTACAACACGTTTTGTGATGTTTTAAAGAGTGTGAGATTTGATGTGACTCAAATACGAGGCTGGGGATGGAGGTATTCTATTATTATGTTACGTTACATAAGGGATGCTTTTTTAATAGCAATACTACCAATTCAAATATTGGTTCGTTTACCGATGAAAATTAGTTTTATATCTGTTTAGCGCGACCATGTATAGTTCTCAAATGTTGTTAAATCGTTTTGCTGGGATTTGAATTCATTCTCAAACTATATACAGTAAAAGAGTCAAAATATTTCGAAACTCAAAAATGCAGATTATACTTTTCCCTCCTCACTACACATTCAGTTTTTACCGTTTTTTCTATCAAATCAAATGACTTCTATCTCTTTTTCTTTTGATCCCTGAGGAGAATTCTACAGAAATGGGGTATCTCCTAGTTTCTTCCTGACCTTTGTCCCTCTCACCTGCTTTGCAGTTTACCACTTTTAAATTTTGGTCTTTCTGGGAACCACAACCCGAATGCATTCCACAAAGTGTTAAGGGAAGTGGAATGGGAAAATATGAACACTGTATTAGAAGGGTAATGCAAATGAATTTCTTACATCTCTCTATGTGGAACTTCCGAACACAGGTATCATAACATCTTCAAAAACGTTATTTTAAGTGCTTGGGGTAAGAACTCACTTGGTGGTTGGAGGTTGTAAGTTTCGTTTCCACAAACTTTTAAGAGTACGTGACAATACTAAAGTGAAACCGAACACATTCTTCATTTCCTATTTTGCTCTTACGTGTTCTCCAAACACTACAAAAGTGAAAGGACGAAGTTCCAAAAACTGACGCCACACTGAGCTCTTCCTTTTACTCACTCCAGAGGTATGAGAAGCGGGGGGGGGAGGGGGGAATCCAACGATGCAATCCCCACGACAAAGTGAAATAACATTTGGGAGGATCGGCCCAGTAGCTTCTGGTTGGGCAAGAGGCTTAGAAACCTTGACAATGGAACGATGTTCTAATGTTCGCTTACATTTTTCTTAGTCGCAAACTTCACTTACACTCACGTCACTTCATGTTAAATTATTTGCTTAAAAATAAACATTATGGAATAATAATGTTCATTAAATAATAAACAATAATAATTTAAATCATTCTTAAACACTTCGAGATTTTTCAGATCTGGCTGACAGTCGTGTATTCGCCAACTCTACTAGTATATTTGAATTTATGAAAAATTCTTATTGTTTAATAGGGTTTTAATAGGGAATTACTAAAACGCAGCCTTTCAACATTATACTTGATGGTAATTGAAAATATATTCAACTTACGTCAGTTGAATGAACACTACATATTTATTTTTCGTAAAAAATGTGGTTTTAAGAGATGACCTCTTAATGAGAGACAGTAAATTTGGAAGTACACATTAGTTTAGTTATATTTATTAAGAATTTGGAATTTACAAGATCATTATGATAACTTTTGTTGGCTGTCGCTATGACTAATGAGCACTGTCGTTTCATCGAAACTGCTTTTAGGGATAAATGTTATTTAAAATTCATGAGGAACGCACTTGTTAGGCTGTGTGTATTTGAATAAACGGTTATCCGTAAGAAATACAATAATATTTCAGTGGATGAGTGTGTGGCTTTCTTATTCTTAATGGAACTGTGTGGCTTCAGAAAAATGAAATATTTGTTGGTATCATCCTTGTCAATACATTTTCGGAATGTGAGTTATGCTTTGCAGCAACGAGATCATAAACAATGCCAGCATCACTTTTCAATTCTGAATATTCAATAATTTATAAAGAAATATTCAAAACTCTGGAGTTATGTTTCAAGTAAAGGTAGTCAATGAGGAGTGTAACAAATTGATGTTTATAAAAATATGTTTATGGAAAACTAATTATCCAAACCTTCATTAATATGAAGGTTCTCGTGCAAAGATAAGAAAACCACAGCAATGTCCTGTAGGACGTGTTACTCTGGAATCTTTGGCAATATAACACAGAAAATTTTAAATTCTGAATGCGTCAAACAGATTAGCTATAGCTACGTTTTTTAGCTTTGAAAGATGGACATTTGCACAGTTAAGTACGAGCATGTGTAATTTTGTCGCTAGAAATTGCGATGAATGAATTAAAATATATACATAGCTTCTGCAACATATAAAACAACTTGCCAGGCACGAGATAGGGAGAGAGCAAGGATGTTAAAGACATTTCTGAAACACAAAAAATCCTGTTAATGTAGTGATGTAATGTAATATATTTTGATTGTTTCCATCTAAGTTAATGATATTTTTATATTCTATACATTAACCCAAAATGTCAAGTGTCTGATTTATAAGAATAAGAATGTAATATAAATGTAATGATATAATTATAACAGAAAATGATTACATAAATATGTCATTCATTCGCTAACTATATCTTGATCAAAAGCTTCTTATTTTTCAATAATTTATAATTTTCATTGAAGTAATGCTCTTGGGAAAATTCAATATAAAAACATAGGTCGTTTCCCTGCTCCTGGAGTTTGGCAACTCCAAATTCAATTAATTTTCTAAGTTCATTCCGTAAACGATGATGAGCATTTTGCATGAGATTTTCCAACCCGTGAAAATGACGTGTTTTAATGCCGCCAATGTATTACATCTGTCCATCAATGTTATTTTTATAAACAAGGAAACATTTCTGTAGTGAAATTCCAACCACCACATTACTATGCTTTTTAAATGCATCTTGTGAAAATATTTTTCATTTTCAGATGTATAATATTATTGTTGGAACCATCTACTACTCAGAAAGGTATCATTTCTATTTTGGTAAGTAGGTTTTGTACTGTATTCAGACTAGCAAGCTTTTTTAACGTGATGAAAATACATGTAACTCAAAAACAAAAACAAAATATTACATAATTTAATATTAACGCATGAAGTATAACACATTACATGTCTTTGCCCTTGAAGAGCAACTTTATTTTATGTTTTCAATTGCTCGACAAGTTTATATCAACCAAATTATCAAAAAATTCAAGTTATTGGAAATATTTGTTCGTCAGAATTATACGTTTTAAGAAAGATCATACATTTGTGTATTTTTCTAAATAAAATATGCATTAATTTACATTTCTTTTACATACTTTTGAAAAAACAATAAGTACTGTCTATTAGATGTTTCATGGGCAATATTAACATGTCAATTGTAATAAAAATGTTTCATTTTTTAATTTTTAAGCCAGCCATCCTTCACAATTTTTTTAATGAGAATGTGCTTTTCAATTAGTACATTCAAGCTCATCCAGTCTGATTTATAATGAATTATTTATTTATTGCCCAAAATATGCAGAAATAATTTATAACAACATACGTTTCATTATCAGGTTTGCAAGGCCTGGTCAGCACTGCCAGCTGCTTGGCATTCGCTGCTTCATTGGCTGATGCGGTCTTAATATTCGGCGTCTTGCGAGTGAGTACTGCCTAAGGGAAGATACTTCCATTATTTCGATTCACTTGTTGTCTCCTTTCCCATTACCCATGGTTGTTCTTTTTTTAGAGAAAAGAAGAGTATCTGCACTCCATAGTATGTGCTACACTGGCAGTGTACATGCTATGTGGATTAATGCCTCTTTGTGTAGTGATCGGCCTAGCTATCAACATGAAATGGATTTTCATGCTGTGGGAAGTGCCTCGCCTATGTAAGAAACATTTTCTATACTACAAGTAAAAGAGAAAGTTGATATAAAATATTATTTATATTATTGTTACTCATTAAATGTACGTGTAAATATTAATTTGTGCATCTGTTTCATTTATAGTAACATAACTGATTTTTATTCATGTAAATTTTACCAATCGAAATTGTAATTATTTACCCCATCGAATATTCAATAGAAATCATTCAAATAAATGATACAGTAGGGGGAATATGCGGGTCTGGGATCAGGAAGTTGATAAGATAAGCTTATCTTATCGTATCTTATCAACTTCCTGATCCCAGACCCGCATATTCCCCCTACTTGATACACACTTCTAAGATGTGTGGAGGGACTGAAACGATCACTTTTTGCCTATACACATGCAGGAAATTTAACAATTTTTAAGTTTCACACGTGTCATGTGTCCCTGATTGTTAGGCAACGTTTCATGCACTAGTGTTTGTCATGTTCTGGCACGTACCAACACTATATAGTGCATGAGGAGATCTGTCAGAACCAAAAAAAAGAACCAAATGTCGCGTATGTAACTTTGTTGCCTGAAACTTCGCACCGTATGTTCATTGGCAAACGATGATCGACCGCTCTTCTTATCCTAGACGTTTAACATTTCGTCGTCGTTAACCTATGTGAGAAAAACATTTTACAATAGGAAGCAAAAACAGGTTTGAATATTAATAACGCAGAGTTGGCTAAGTTTAGGCATTCTACGCTTTCTGTAAAATAGTATTAAATATTTATTGTAATATTGTTTTGAGAGGACCTTACGAAAATCTCCCATGTGGTTCTTACCACATACCAGATATTCTATATTCTATTTTTAGAACACAATTTCTATTTTTCTTAACTAAAGACCAACCAAGTTCTGAATCACTGATGCCAAAATGTAAAAATCGCCAATTCCGTCATATAGGAGAGCCCCAATCTCTTCTCTCCCCAATCTAGATCGTATTTTTCGAAAGACATGTGCCCACTGCGTTCCGCTCTGAGTGTGTGTGTGTCTTGTGCTCCGCAGTGGCGTACCCCGTGCACGTGTGCGTCATGTACTGCCTGCTGGCCGAGGTGCGCGGCGAGTCGCCCGCTCAGGGGCTGGGAGCGGCGCCCGCGGCCGACGGCTGGCTCAAGAACAACCTGGCCCGCGCCGGCCACGCGCCCCTGGCGGCGGACGGGGTGCTGCTCAAGCTGCCGGCGAACGGCCCCGCCCCCGCCCCCGTGCACTTCGGCTCCGCGCCGCCCCCC